GTCATTATTCACAGTTAATAGGAACCAACAGTATGTCAGGCACTCGTCTAGCAATGAACAAAAATATTGAAAAATCTCTGCCCTTAGGGACTTATATTACATAGGAAGACAGAGAAAACAGTCCAAATAAAGAAGCAAAATATATAGTTTGTCAAATGGTGTTCAATTTAGGAAGAGGTCCTACAGAGTGCGGTGGAATATTAGGTTTTAAATCTGAATAAATTTAACACTTTTAGTGGATTTAACTCGAAGTATGAACTTAGTATTCTAGCACTCTCATTCTTATAAAAATCGTTACAAGCCATAAGGGTATATATGGGGAGAAGTGATTTTTCCCTCTATTATATCAGAGTTTCTGCTCTGAAACCTGGAAAACCATCAATTATAAAGCTCATTGGGAATGGAAAAAAGCAAACCATCAGCAAAACTCATCAAAGCCCTAAGAAGAGTATTTCAAAGGATTCTGTGATTAATCCATACTTGTTGGCTGATTTATTAATTAATCTAGTCAGCAAATACTGCCACGGTGTAAAAATCCTCAACAAAACAGAAATGATTCTGCTATGCAAAACCACTCCTTTTTTTTTTTAAATATTTATTTATTTATTTTTAGTTTTCAGCGGACACAACATCTTTGTATGTGGTGCTGAGGATCGAACCCGGGCCGCACGCATGCCAGGCGAGCACACTACCGCTTGAGCCACATCCCCAGCCCCCAAAACCACTCCTTAATAGAAAAAGAAGCAAAGAGAAGTGCTGGACAGGAAACTTTTAATTACCCTAGAGTCTCATTAAAAAAGAAAGCTCATTCAATGAAGGGGATATTCTATCTGTGCTGTCCTATACAGTAACCGCTGGCCAAATGTGATTACTGACCACCTGAAATGTGCTCAGGGAGACAGAGAACTGAATTTTTAATTTGATTTAATTTGATTAATGTAAATTTACATAACCACATGTGCCTGGCAGCTCCTTTATTATATAGAAAAGGTTTAGAATCACAGGAATCTGATTATGAAAAAAAAGGTCTGGGAAGTCTCCTCACTGAATCTGAGATAGGACCAGCTCCTCAAATAAAAACAGGTTAGGGACCAAATAGCCAAAGCCATTTTGATCAAAAAAAAAACAAAAAACAAAAAACGGGAGGCATCACATCATATAATTTCAAAATATATTACAAAGCAACAGTAATAAAAAAATCTAGTACTGGCATAAAGACAGACATATGAACTAATGGAACAGAATAGAGAGCCTGAAAATAAAACCAGGCAGGCAGATATATAGATAGATAGATAGATGGATAGATAGATAGATATCTCCATATCCATCTGATCTTTGAGAGGAGTGCTCAGAATACACAAGGGGAAAAGATAGTTTCTTCAACAGATGGTATTGGAAAAACTGAATAGCCCCATGCAATAGAATAAAATTGAACATTTATCTCACATCATTCACAGAACCCAAATAAAAAGTAGATTAAGGACTTGAAGATTAAGATCTGAAACCATAAAACTCATGAAAGTAAACAGAGGAAAATCTTTCTGGCATTGGCAGTTGCAATAATTTCTTGGATATAACACCAAAACCACGAGCAACAAAAGCAAAAATGGACAAGTAAAACAAACTCAAACTAAAAAGCTTCTGCACTGCAGAGGAAACAACCAACAAACCAAAAAGTCAGCTAGAGACTGGGAGTAAATATTTACAGATCATATATCTGAAAAAGGGCTAATTTCCAAAATCTATAAGGAAACCCTATAACTCAATAGCGAAAATAAACAAATAAATAAATAATTTTAAAATGGGTAAAAAGCCTGGATACACATTTTCCCAATGAAATCAGACAAATGGACAACAGGTATGTGAAAATTTACTCAGTGTCACTAACAATCAGGGAAATGAAAATAAAAACCACAATGAAGCTGGGGTGCTGGGGTTCCTGTCTATAATCCCAGTGACTCAGGAGGCTAAAGCAGAAGGATCACAAGTATGAAGACAGCCTGGGCAACTTAGCAAGGCCCTAAGCAATTTAGTGAGACCCTGTCTCAAAATAAATATAAAAAGAGTTGGGGATGTGGCTCAGTGGTAAAGTGCCCCTAAGTTCAATCTCCAGCCAAAAAAAATTTAAAAATAGGACTACTTTTATATGATCCAGCAATCCCACTTCTGGATATATAACCAAAGGAGTTAAAAGTAGGACCTTGAAGAAATGTTTGCATTCCCTTCTTCATTACAGCATTATTCACAATAGCCAAGACATGGAAGCAGCCTAAATGCTCTTTGATGGATGGATGAAGAAAATATGGTATACACATACAATGTAATTACTAAGACTTAAAAAAAAAGAAGAAGGAAATCTGCCATTCCCAACAAGGTGGTTGAATCTGGGAGCCATTATGCTAAATGAAATAAACCAGACACAGAAGGACAAATACTGCATGATCTCACTAATACAAGAAATCTGAGTCAAACCCATATAAACAGAGAGTAGAATGGCAGTTGCCTGGGGAAGTGGGAAAGGGGAAGACACTGGAAAATGAATGTAAAAGTTTGGTAATGCAAGATGAATGAGTCCTAGAGATCTATTACCTAGCAGACCTACCTGTAGTTTACTGTATAATTAAAATTTTACAAGAGAATAGATCTTCTGCTAAGTGTGTATATACCTAATAATAACAATAAAAAGGGAGCAGAAGTAATCTTTTGGGAGTGATGAATGTTTTTGGCAATGACTTCACAGACATATACATATTCCAAACTCATCAAGTTGTATTTATGAAATATATACAGTCTTTTATTTGTGAATACATCAATAAAGTCATTGTAGGAAAAAAAGATTAGAGAGCCTTCACAGAAAGGATATAGAATGGACACCTATTACATACCTCCAGTACATATGTATATCTTTAATCCACACAGTATCCTTACAGGTGATCAATAGTATCATCCCTACTTTCTGATGGAGGAAACTGAGGCTCAACAAGATTATTTGAGTGGCCTAGAGCCTTTCAGCTTTTAAGGAGTAGAACCAGAGGTCTAACACCAAAGCCTGCACTCTTCCTACTAGGGCATAGCATCTATGGTGCACTTGAGATTTTCTTCCATTTCCCTCCTCTCTAAATAGTACTACAAAAATTGTGTGTGTGTGTGTGTGTGTGTGTATTCTGAGAAACAAGCAGGTCTGGGGCTACTTGAATGCTTAGTGTGGATCTAGTGAGCTGTACAAACCAGTATCCTTTAGCCAAACTGTACCGTTTTCCATCTGGTCAGGTAAAGCGGAATGTCAGAAACAGTGATGGGGCAGAGGAGGCATGAATTCCTTCTTGCTAAATAACTTAGTAGGGTAGAAGTGGCAGGTTAAATAAACCTTCCTCCCTTGGAAATACTCAGCAAGATTTGGTGTTACAGCTCTCCTGGTTCCCAGGGAGCTCTCATTACATGGGCTTTAGAGACATGCAGAAATCCTAAGGGCACATATCTTTGTATTTAAGGAGGCTGGAGGTGAAGGCAAGAGGAAAAATGAGGAACAAGACACCTCATTACCAGTGAGATTTGAAACTACAGGTTGTAGAAAGGGACTGTGTTACCCCTCTGGAGACAGGGGGCTGCTCAACTCCTTCCCCAACTTCCTGTCTGTCTCATCCTATCCTGGCAAGGAACTTTCAGGAAAGAGCTCTCTACCCCCTGAAAAAAAGCTTTACAGTATATTGTGGTTTTGAGATTTATGTGATTCCACAAAAATGGAATAACTTTTAAAATAGTTCATCCTAGTGAAACCTTTAGTATCCTGGGTAGGAGTCTGTGGAAAACCTAACTGCTCACATGACCTCTCTCACATATCTACACAGACACCTAGTCTAAATTTCAAAAATCCAGGAAACTGATTTAGGGGACTGATTTTGTACCCATTCTCACACAGTATTGGGATCCTACTAAATGCAAACAAACAGGTGAATGTTGGTGATAATGACACTGTGACCAAGGGGTGAAAAAGCATGGTGTCTTTTCATTCTCTTGTGTTAGTCCAAAATTAATGTTTATAGCATTAAAACATTACTCCTGGAACCCAGGAGTTCCAGCACTTTAATTTCAAAACTTTCTACTAAAATAGACAACAATCACCCATGAGTCCTCTTCATTCCCTTTTTGGCAGAGGTCTTAGGTTGTTTCGCAGAGTTTTGCTTCCGTCAGAAAATTACTCCAAATTTTTTAAATGAAATAAAAACTATAAACCACAAATATGCATATAGAAGTTGTTGAAGTCTTGTACAGAAGTTGGTTTTTGCAGCGCATTGTATTCACAAGTTTCCTGCAAGAGGAAAACTCCCCACTTTTTGAGTTGCTGGGACAGCGTCCCCTCCCAAACTCCCCGCCCAAGTCCATGGGAAGTCGTGCAAAAAGCGCCTGCACTGCCATCCACCGGCCTCAAAGAGTATGACACCAGGACAGGGGCGCCCGCGGCGACGCTGAGGGACTGAGTTCCAGTAGGATCCTACAGGACACCACCCCTCCCCTGCTCGCCCAGCCCGAGGTGTCTGCGGGAAGAGACACCCGTCCGGACTCTGCGCAGCTGGGAGTCTAACAGTAGCGAGCGGATTATGGGGCCCTATTGACGCCAAAGAATGGGTGTTGTAAATTAGACTTAGTTCCTGGAGGTTCAGGCCAGTGGGCAGCATCCGTAGTGCCCTTCTTTTTATTTCCCTTCCCGAACCTGGGGCAATGTTGTCCCTTCCCAAGACAGGATCTGAGCGTGCAAATCCTAGAGCTTTGAACCTACGCCTCCCGGCGGCCAGCGCAGGATGTGCCTAGGCGAGTACCCGCGGGAGAGAAAGTTTGTATGCAGGGAACTCAGGAGTTCCAGCACTCCGAAAGTGAGGCGTTGTGGGATGTTGCCACTCAGGATGATCCCGGGGCACACTGGTCGCCAGGGAACCGTGCGCATGTGCTGGTTGTAAAAGAGACAGACACCTAGGCGCGCGCAATTCAGAGAGGAGGCTTACGTCTGGGGCAAGCAAGGCTGCCGCGCAGTCCTTCCAGCTACCGGATGCCTGAAACGAGGGTGCAGAGAGCAAGCCGTGGATCCCAGAGGGGCTGGTTCCGACGGCTCCACCGGCAGCCTCCCCAAGCGCCGGTGTGCGGCTGAGTCCACTGGATGTGCCGCCGGCGCCTGGCGGAAGAGGGACTCTGTAGGAGAGGTAGCAGAGCCCCTGGCAAGCAGAGCGGGATCTCCGGACCGAGCCAACTCGAAAGCTGAAGGACACCCTGCCCATGACCCTGGAGAGTCTCAGAGGCAAGGCAAGTGGTCCGCGTGCCCCAGTACTAGCTGCAAGGCGCTGAGCGCAGCACTGAGAAAGACAGAGCTCACCGACGGCCGGGGAAGGAGGTGGTACCCGGGGGAAGGAGGGGACTGCGGCGGGAAGGGTTGACCCTGAATTCACCTGGACTCGAAGGCCACCGGACCTCTCTTCGGCAGGAGCGTGGATCGTGGATCCTACCGGCTTTGGGACCCCAGCTCGGCGGTAGCGCTCTTCCAGAGCGAGGGCAGGGGACCGTTTCGTGAACATGTCTAGCTTATTCCTCTGTCCACTCTTATCTTGATCGCTTTTCTCTCTTCTATGTGTCCCTGGGAGAGGCACTACAGATGCCTTTCTCCTTACTCAGGAAGAGACAAGTTGTACTTCAAGGGACAGGAGTCCCATGTTTTGTCGGTTCGACAAATCCCACCCGCGGACCACTCCCTCCCTTCACTCTGGGTCCTACCCATAATAACCCTTAATGACAGATCCTCCATATACCCCCCTCCCCCCTACACACACCCTTGCATTCAAAGAAGTTATTCATCAGAGGCAGAGGGAAAGCCAAGGGTCTGCTAATCTCCCCAGGAAAACTTACACTCCCCAGGACAGCAGAAAAGGACATGGTGATTAAGTCTGGGATGTCAGAGTGGTTGGGAGGAAAAGGGTTACTTTTCTCCATGTTCTTATCACATCCTAGACCACTTCCTTTTAGCCAGAAGGTAAGTCAAGCAAAAATCAGAAAACTGCATCCACTGACAATATCAAGCTTGTTATCTTAAAAAAAGATGTAACCTTTGGAAAGCAACTATTATTTGCATTATACAAATGGAAATTTGCCTTGTTACAGGTTTAGTGAAGAAACTGCCTTTGCTGAGGGCTCAGGGACACGGGAGAACCCCAACCTGCTTCATAAACTACCTATGGGATTTCTTGCCATAGTATCCAGAGGCTGAACCAAGAAACCAACAAATCCTGCCTGTCATGAACAAGCAACCAGTTTTCCTATAAGGCAGCACCAAAGAGATCACTGGAGATATTCACAACGGGAGGGAGACAGACTTCATTGAGTTTTTCTTAGAAATAACTATCCACTTTCAGCCAGGATCTTATGAAAATTTCAAAAATTACTCATGAGGTTATTTATTAAACTTATTTTCATTATTTAAAGGAGGCCATGTTTAGTCAACAACATATATTAGGCACCTGCTCCTTTAGTATTATTTCTAGGGGGAAAAGGGTATATGCATTAGAAAATTTGGGGTGAAACTGGTATTTTGTTCCTAAAATGAGATGTGACGGTTGGAACACTGATCCCACGCTATTCTAACATGAGATTCAGAATACAGTATCTAACAAGTTTATCATAACTTACAAAAATTAGGCTCTTAGTACTTGGCAGGCTATGTCCTAAGCACTTCGCATGCATTCTACTTACATTCACTTATTTTACTTCTACCAAACACTTTGAAGTAGGTGCTATCACTACCTTTATTTTAGAGATGAAATAGCAGAAACCAGCCTAACATTATACAGCTAGCAAGTAGCTGAACTGGGATTCCCCAGAGGCAGTGTGATTTCAGGATTGAGCTCTTCCTAAAAGAGATTCTGCCTCATCAAGCACTATCACCACAGGGGTGCTTGCCTGAGAATCAAGAGCCTAGGAGATTCATCTGTCATCTCCAATGTGAGCAAGTCCCAGTCTTTCTAGGCCACAGTTAACTCAGTTTATGAGCTAAGCATTGATTGGATTCAATCACCAAGGTTTCTTACAGGCATGCTGAAGCCATGTGAGTTTCTATTTCATCTCCTTTCTTTTCCACTTTCTGCCCTCTGGTGGAGGTGCTACAGGAACTAGTAAAGTAAAGTAGCTAAATCAAGGGACTTGAGAGGGTAGATCAGTCTCCCTGGTTCTTGCACCACTACAGTGTTCCCCTCAGAACTAAAGCATATCACACCAATAGTATAAATTGTGTATTCCTTAAACATAAACATGGAGAAGCCAACCAGTTCTACTTACCAATAGCACCAGAAAGAGTGTTTGAGATAGGTATTCTTTGCATGATGGTAATGATATAAAATCTATTTTTATTTTCTTTGTATCAAACTTTTGTAAAGAATCAAAATATTAGAAGTTCATAACATATTCTGCTCGCACAGTAATCCTGAATGACCTATTAATTATTCCTGTGTAAAAATTTTTGATACATTTGCATTTCAACTTTTTTTTAAAGTGATAACCATCATCCTGTTTCTTGATATACTTTAAATTTTACAAAAAGAAACATTTCTGGCCCTTTGAAATTTTTTTTTGTTCTAATATTCCAAGCATACATCCAACTAGTTTGATCATTTTGAAGGAAAAAAACACATTAAACACTAAAGGGAAGACATACCCACAACTACCATAATATTTTCTTGTCCAGTGAAACATTCATCATATGATAAAGTAACTTGTGTAGATGTTCTGTTTGCTGTTCCTAATATTTCTGGCATATCAATCCCCTACTCTAATAGTCACTGGGAAGAAAGTAACAAGAACCAGCCTTGTAGGAAATTCCCAAGAAATTTTATTTTTAGCAGTCTGATACATTCACCGCTACACTGGAGACACATACTGCAATTTGACTGCTTAAATGTTCTTACCTTTGGTCAGCACCTGCCTGGTCCTCCCAGGGATAGTGCACCCTTAGAGACAGTGACCACACAAACAAAAAAGTGAGATGCCTCCCTCAGTGCGCAATAGATTTTTTTCTGATTTGGGGTCCAATTTTCTTTTCTTTTTTTTAGTTGTAATGGACACTATCTTTATTTATTTATTTTTATGTGGTGCCGAGGATCGAACCCAATGCCTCACACTCGTGAGGCAGGCGCTCTACCACTGAGCTACAGCTCAGCTCCTGGGGTCCATTTTTCAAGAGAAATCTTACAGTTATGACATTAAGACACATTCATCATTATAAGACTTTTTAAAGCACTATGTGCCAAGCACTTCACCAAGTGACATATAGTTTGTTTCTAATTCTTGAAACAAATTTAATGTTCTCTATTATAAGAATTAGCCTACCTCATAAAACTTATGGAGATTCAATAAATATTTAAAATATTTTTTTAAAAAGTGCAAATACATAATAGCTAAAACATATTGTGAAGCACACTCTTCATTACTTCCTGTCACCATTTTACAGAACAGGAAACTTAAGCTTACAGAATATAAATAACTTGCCTAAGACCTCACAACTAGGAAGTGGTAGAACCATAATTGGAGCCCAAGTAATCTGGGACAACAGATTAATTAACCCCTACCTCTGTAGCACAGTTATTAAGATGATGGAAATGTCCAAGGAGTTTACAGCCTAGAATTACTCTGTGAATTCATTCATTCATCTAAGAAACATTTATTTAGCAATGTAATGAGTTAGTACCCCAACTCCCTCAAAAGATCAGTGCACCAGACTCTCAGAATGTGACCTTCCTTGTTTGGAAATAGTCTTTGCACATGAATGATAAAATCATACTAGAACAAAATGGGCCCCAAATCCAAGGACCATGTCCTTATAAGGCAAAAAAGAACACAGATATCAAGAAGGCAATGTGAAGATGGAGGCATAGTGTGCAGTTATGCATCTAGAAGCCAAGAAATGCCAGAAATTAATACACACTACAGGAGAGGCATGAGACAGTTTCTCCCTCAGGGAATCCAAAGGAACCAACTGGCTGACTCCTTCTGGGCTTCAGGCCTTCTGCACTGTGAGAGAATAAAGTTCTGCTTTTTAAAACACACACACACACACACACACACACATACACACACACAGTAGTTATTTGCTATGGTAGCCTTAGGAAACTAATACCGACATTAACTGTGTAACTAGGCACAGTTCCCCACTCCATGGTTATAGCAATAAATAATACTGTACTCCTGCCCTTGTGGAGCTTACATTCTAGTGAAGGAGATAAGTAATAAGCAAATACATAAGAACAGGTACTCTTTAGTGCAATCAGAGGAAATACCATAAAACAGAGGTCAGCCAGATGAGGGTGATAAGAGTGAGGGTGAGTGAATCTCTCCAGGTGTGTTTTAACCTGAATCTGGATTGTGGAATTCCATGATATGCGTGAATTTTTTATAGTTCCATTTAAATACATATCTCATTCCTAATGAGAAAGAAAACTTAACAAGTACAGAAGCTCAGCAAACAATTGACCTAATCTCACTCAATATACCAAGATTCTAAAATACATGAAAATGGTTTCCCAGATGGATAACTGGTCTCTCGTCTCTTAAAAAGTCTCTAGAAAGCACTGGGGCTCCCAGTTCCTGGCATTACTCCTAAATTTGTATCTCTTCCAGGAGGTGATAGCCAATTCACTGCTTCTTCCTCACTCCAGGACTCGAGACCCAAGGTTAGGTGGATCTAATCAATAGAGGGCAATATTCACAAGCCAAAGGGGGGACAGCTATCTCACAACAATTCTAGCTTTAGAGCTAACCACCTCTTACTTCCCCAGAGATGTGCACAGGTTAAAACAGCTGGGGCAGTATCCTAGGTCCCCACAAATTTCTCTGGCAGCTTTCCCCCCTTAAGATCTTGTCTCTCTTGGGCTGGGGTTATGGCTCAGCGGTAGCTCACCTAGCACATGCCCAGGCGCTGGGTTCGATCCTCAGTACCGCTTAAAAATAAATAAAACAAAGGTATTGTGTCCAACTACAACTAAAAAATGTTTTTTTAAGAAAAGATCCTGTCTCTTTACTCCCCCAGATCTGATCACAGAAATGTTGGCTCCTGCTGTAAATTTAGTGTTCTTGATTCAACACTCAACTAATCAATTCTTCTATAGATCAGAGTGTCATCCACTGTGTTAGTAATTTTGATTGAAAAAGGCTTGATGTGGGAGCTCGGGTTGTGGCTCAGTGGAAGAGCACTTGTCTAGCATGTGTGAGGCACTGGGTTTGATTCTCAGCACCACATAGAAAAATAAAATAAATAAAATACAGGTCCATCAACAATTAAAAAAAAAAAAGGCTGGATGAAGCCCAAAGGTCCCAAAGCCTAATAGAAAGTCACCTATCACAATGAGCTGATGATTGCACAGAAGTTTCTTTCTACTGCTATCTACTATCTTATTATTGCTATCTTAACCTGGCTTACTTGGTTTTCTGCTTAGGTAAAGGGACCTACAGCACAGATTATATGAGGGTGGAGTCTTCTACTATATTCACTGTACCAAGCATCTACACAAAAACATTTCTTGAAAAGAAATGAAAATTTAAAAGTAAATCTCTCCATACTTGGTCTTAAAATTCTTACAAGTAGCCAGGTGCAGTGGTGCATGCCTGTAATCCCAGCAGCTCAAAAGGCTGAGGCAGGAGGATGGTAAGTTCAAAGCCAGCTTCAGCAAAAGTGAGGTACTAACCAACTCAGTGAGACCCTGTCTCTAAATAAAATACAAAATAGATCTGGGATGTGGCTCAGTGGTGGAGTAGCCCTGCATTCAATTACCGGTACCCCTGCCCCTCCCCACCAAAAATTCTTACAGGTCATTTCTAAACAACTACTAGACTCTCATCTATATTTAAAAGTTTTAACAGCTGTAGTTATAAAGTTCTTAGATTATAAACTCTTTAAAAAAAAAGCAATATATTAAATGCTGTGTTTCAATAGTTTCTTTGGTAATTTCAGTAATAAGTACACTATTTATTGGAGGTTATTTAAATTTAATTTAGATGTGAATAGTATATTAATTGAAATACAAACAATAGGTACTGGAGATCTCTAAGTTTTAAACTGAAAATCTTGAACATTTTGATATGCATTCTGCAAATTTAAAATAATAAGCTAAAAACTCAGTTTTTACATTATGTATTATGTATAGAACATATTACACTGTGTTAATGCCACAACATAAGTAAGAAAATAAGACCAACATATTCACAATTTTATCTAGGCCATTCTTAGAGGCTATTTGATAACTTTTTCCATTCCTTCTTTAATTGGTTCAGATTGAAGCAAAAAGGACAATGTGTACTGCTTTATTTCTCTCAGAACAAATTAGCGTTAAGTATTTAAATGATTTAACTTCCCTTTGACCTTAAAGAACATAATTTACTTCCTCCTTCCTGATTCAATCCACTTCAGCTCATCATGCAGTGGTTTCTGCAGATCTTCCTGCCACTCATTCAGGACAAAGGGGAAGCCATAGGAACTGAAGTCAAGCATCACTGTTTGAATTAGAGCACAATATCGTCACTCATCTTCCTCCCCACTTTTACTCTTGCCCTACCCTGTTATAGTCCTTTCATACACAGAAGCCAGCAATTGCAAAAAAAAAAAAAAAAAAAAAAAACCTCTTCCCTGCTAAAAACCTTCCAATGATGTCCACTGAAATTAGACTAAAACTCAAATCCAAGAATATCAAACACCATAGCAAATGGCCTAGACTACTCCCTCTATCAATTTCATTAAGCGCCAGCTACACCAACGCTTCTTTCTGGTCCTCAGTCATGTCAAGCATCTCCCAAACTTACAGACTTTATACTCCTTACTTTCTTTTATCTCATGGACTTTTCTCTCAGATTTTCAGATGGAAGCCATTCCAGTCACAGTGGCTCAAATATCTCTTAGAAGGACTCTCTCAGCCTAAATTACGTGGTCCTTTTTTTTTTTTTTTTGGTCTTTTAAAATCCTTTATTTGAGAAAGGAGAGGGACAGGAGCCCTGGGTAGGCACAGCTAGAACAGGGGCTGGTAAGAAAGGTTTCTCTCCCTCTGTCTTCCTCCATCCATGGCTCCCACCCTACTTCCACACCCTCTTGGATAGCATTCCTCTAGCATGGTCTTTCTATGGCCATCTAAGGGCCTTAAGAAAGGCCAAGACCCTCCATTTTTCCTGAACCACAACTTTCCATTGGGACCACACTCCTTTCTCTGTTGATCAGCATTGTGGGGCACACACATCTCTTCCTCTGTCTTGCGCATCATCCTTTCACTTATGTCTCTGAAATCCATGGGCCTGAGCGAACATTTCAGGGCAAGCCTCCCCTCTGTAACCACTACCTGTGACAGCAGAGGAGGGCCAAGCTTCTGGTTGGAGGCCCCAGAGCAGTGAGGAGAGAAGATGCAGCTCCAAGCACTCCTGCCTTTATTCTGATGTGTCATCACCCTTAGGGGCTTGGTCTTAATGCCTACTGGCCATGGCCATGTTAACACTCATTGGGCTGCATCACAAGGTCAAGGACCGCATCTTCGTCTTTGAAACCTTTATATAATGTCTACCAGATAGAAGGGCTGTGGAGACAGTTAATTCTAGGCCACCGAGTTACAAAAGTTGGTGTCCACCATGTCCAGAAGCCTAGCTAGGAAACTTGAGAAGGAGGTGTCCATCCTCCATTGCCCCGGACCATCCTCCATTGCCCCGGAGGGACGGGTGTGACACCTTCTCAGCTTCCCAGGGCTCGAGTTCTTTTTTTTCCCCCTTGTAGTACTGGGGTCAAACCCAGGATCTAGTACATGCTAAGTACACACTCCATCACTGACCTACACCCCCACCCCTTGAGGTCCGGTGATGAGACTTCTCATTTCTACCCTTCAAAATTATTACAGACACTTATGGTTAAGAGCTAATCCTCTCATTTCCTCAGGCACAGACCCCTCTCCAAAGCCTCAATTCTAGCTTTGCTCCCTAGCACAACCTTGTGCTGTCTGTCTCTGGATTTAGGGACCCATGCTTCTGAATTCAGGGTGTGAGCTTGGAAATGGGTGGCACTGTGGGTAGATCCTCCACTTGCAGTTTGCTGAGAGTGCCAGCCCACGAAATAGCACCAGCTTTGACTTCCTCCATGTGCCTCAAAGTCTGGCATCCTATTGCCTTTTCATCACAGCGTAAACATCTGTCGTGCTGAAAAACTTCACCTTTAAGATGCTAGAAAAAAACACCACTTTTGACAGAATGTGCTCCCCTGCTTCCCCACCAGGATTGTGTTCCCCATCAACAACCGTGTCACAGTATTGAGAGCTGCCTTGGGTCACGGCTGGTGCAGGCCCTTAGTCATAAGCAGTGGGCTTGCCAGCTGCAAGCTTCTGCCACCTGACTTGGGGAACAGAAATCCTCCAGGAAGATCTAGGCCAGGTTCTGGAGTCTTGTGTTGGCTCAAAAAGAGAAGTGCAGCCTGCAATGGGCCAACAGCATGGAAGTCAGCTCAGGGTGGGAGCTGGCATCTGGTGAGCTCAGGAATATGAGCATGGTTACTGCAGACAACATTGTTTCCTCATTGGGATTGGACAAGCAGTTGCTGACAAGCAGGATACTGCCTGTATGCAAGATATGGTCCTGTTGGTCCTGTCTGAGCATAGGTTGCAGAGGCCCCTAACAACAAACTCCACCAGGTTCTCATTCTCTTCTGACAGAGAATCAAGCAATATATCCAGGACTTGTAGTTGTCACAGATACTGGTATTTGCAGGGGTCACAGGCAAAGCTGGCAAGATTGGCAAGGGACTTGCTACTTGGCATCCCAGCTTTCAGATTCCTGGAATTCCATAAGCAGTGCCTAAAGATACCCCAGCTGCCTGATGTGGGGTTCTACCTTTGGCTTCTGGACCATGGTTGGAGCAGCAGAGGACTTTCAGGGGACTAATGGGAGAGAGGGAAAGGCAAGGCTGGAAAGCCTAAAAGAACCTCACCTGGCTCTCCACAGGTGGACAGGACAGAATATGGGTTTCTTTTCTAGGTTCAGATTCTGCAAAACTTGTAGATGGAACTGAGATGTGAAGGATGAGGAGTTGGCTTCAAAACTGAGAGACAGGAAGGCAGCCACCAGCTGGGGCAGGAGATGCAGACAGGAGTACAGCCACAACTCCTGCTCATTTCTTATGTTTTAACACCACTTATCACATATGAAATCATACTCATTTTCTATACATTTACTTCCTGCCTCCTCTCCTCTACCCCTAAGCAGCACCCCAAAAGATCACAATTATCTCCAGCACCTAAAGTTCCCAGTAAAGGAAACATATCTGTTGAATGAAACAGTGAATGAATAGCTGTGTGACTTTGGGTAAATTAAGTTCTCCGCTAGCCAAACAAAACAAGGCAGCTCAATTTTTCATTCATTCAATCTCCTTCCTCCACATACTAAATTCCTTTCCAACAAATGGGAAAGGAAAAAAAAAAAACCTGGCAAGAACAGAAGTTCAACGAACAATAGAAACGAACTAGGAACTAGGCTTCAGGCTTGCTACCTAGGCCAAGATTCTGAAATTCATAATGATGGCTTCCCACCTAGATAACTCATCATTCATATTCCTGAAGATGCATTTTGGTTAGAGCAAGTACTAATGTGAGTGCAGCAGACATCATTTAGAGCTTCTAAAACACCAACCTAGGAATTCTATCACTGGGAAAGGTAAAAAAAAAATCAAAACACAAAGTGCATTAAAAAAAGGAATGGGGCTGGGGATGTAGCTCAGTTGGTGGAGTGCTTGCCTTGAATGCACAGGCCCTGGGTTTGATCCCCAGCACCACACACACACAAAAAAGGAATGACTCTTCTTCTGGATACTAACCAATACTTGATTCAACAATATGACATTAAAGATTTTTTTAGTTAAACCCAGCAAATTATATAATCTCCCTTTGGACTCAATTAAAACACACTTCTACACTTGTTAATTAAATACTCTTTAGTATTAGAGACTATTTTCTGCATCAATGTTAAGGGTTTTTATACATTGGTACTAATGTATGAAAAGTATTGACTCCTAAATATTTTAAATAATAATAATATTCTAAATTACAAATTTGGTTTGAAAAATTTTAATGAAAACAATCATACAAAAATTAAATAGCAAAACTATTTAAAATGACTTACAATTCAAATAGATTTGGCTTGATGATACTTCTCCACCAGTTTGTTTTCATAAGAACTGATTATTTCTAGCTGTAATCTATTTAGGACTGTGGTAAAGAGAAATAAGAATCAAGTATGTAAAACTTATAACCCCTGTGCTCAGCACATATTGCTCATAAATATTAGTTTTCCTTTTATTACTATCTTAAAAAGAGACATACAAGTTTCATAAAACATGCAAACTTTAGTTAAAAGCTTCTTGCACAAGAAACAGCCATGGGAGGAACCTAGTCCGTCATTTGTTGAAACAAATAAATTTCACTTTAACAATGGATAAAAATTCCTCACAAACTTAACTTCTGAAATCTAATTATAAAGCTTCACATTACAAGAGTTGTTGTAGAGTATCACCTTTTTTAAAAGGTACAAAGTCACATGATCAAGAAAAGTAGCCAATATGAAAACAAAACATGGAGAAATGGTCCTTTTATTGTATATATGGCTGTTTCACCCGAATTTACCAAAAAAAAAAAAAATAGTTCGTTTGAAATATTAAAACAACTAAATACAAGAAAGCGCAATGAATATCAACATGTAACTCTTACCACTAACTAAGCCTTATGCAATATACAATTTCAATCATGCTTTTAGACAGTGTTATACTGCCCTTTCTAATATACTAATGAAGATAAAGCTTAACATTCTGACTTTCTTACAATATCTAGAGGAGTATACAGAGATGAATGTGAATATATACCATGGCCCACAATATACATTTTCTAATAGTCCAAATTTAACAACTGATCTAACTCCAATCTGAGGTATATTAAAAGATAAAAAATTTTTTAATCCACATCATGGGCAATGTACCATGCAAATAACACGACTGTAACTCCACACACTGGAAGGAGGTAATATTTATATTTTTGCCAAAGTGATAGTTCAACTGCCACTTCATCTCTTTTCCTGTTCTTCTTCCGACGACCCTTCAGTCTGTTCTCAAAAGCCTCCAGTTCAGCCTAAATCAAAACAGTTTCATTTTATTAAATTCTATGAATATGTTGATTTGAATGAAAATAAATCTATTTGGGAAGTTTTAATCGAAATGGTATAAAACAAATACATTAATTTGATTTTTTAAAAAAAAGGAACACCTCTCTCCACTAATGATTATATTTAACAAATAAAGTTTAAATAAGCAGAAAGGGAACTGGATAGTAATAGAAGAGATTATTTCAGACTCTAGGCCTGACTTTATGATGCTAAGTATTAAAATTTCTGATTAAATCAAAATACAGACATCATTTTTATGCTTCAACGCCACCTTCTAGCAAGTGCTAAGAGATGACCAGTGAGAATAAAGATACCTACAATTTTAGTTTTCTTACAATGCAAGTAATAAATATTAGTGACTCACATAAAGAAATTCAAGTGAGTAAAGACAAAGTTGCCAGAATGGAAATTCTTCTTTATCAAATACATTTTTTTTAAAATACATTAAAAACTCTTTAAGGAAACAAAAAGGCTTCATCCTTTAATACAAAATGTCTGTTTCAGAAAGAATTAAAAACTGGTTCAAATAACTGGAATACAGTTGTTATCAGTTATGGATTTTCATTCTACTGCTAAATACTTGCTAAACTTCTATACGTGTTACTATATCATGACACATTATAGCCCTTGTTCACTAAAATATGATAGATATTAAATATATATGTAATATTCATGCAAGGATCTAAATGTTTATTTAACAGAAGGAAATCAAAACTTCAGTTAACCCATTACTGTGGCCAAAAAACACACCTGAAGAACCCAATAATATACTTATTTAATATAAAGTGGCATTCTTCAATGAGCCCAAAATAAAATATTCCGTATTTGTTTTTGATATATAGAAAAAAACAATGCCACAGTAAAATAAATGACAACTAAATAAATGATAACCCAAAGAGTCAGTAAATGGTGAATACATTTAAGATTTTCATCCATATTTGTTCATAAAAACTAGATAAAGGAAGAAATACCCTAACCTATTTTTTTTTTTTTAATTTAGTACTGAAGACTGAACTCAGGGGCACTCCACCACTGAGCCACATCCCCAGCCCTACACTGTATTTTATTTAGAGACAGGGTCTCACTGAATTGCTTAGTACCTTGTTTTTGCTGAGGCTGGCTTTGAACTTGAGATCCTCCTGCCTCAGCCTCCTCAGCTGCTAGGGTTATGAGCATGCGCCACTGTATCTGGCTCCTAACCTACTCTTAATAATTTAATCTTCTAGGATTCCAGCCAACCTGTGTTTCATTGTATTAGCTCTGATAACTTATTTAGAGGATACTAGGCAAATCAACTTTAAAGAATGATAAAATAACAGAGATCATCCTAGCCAATCTTTATCTACCACAAGAACTGTTTCTAAAGTCCTCCTCTAAGTCATGCAGGTTCTAATCCCCTCATTTATGAAGGTGGCAGTTTAGCTGAATAAAGCATTTCAAGGGATGAGGAGCAGGAGAAGAAGATTAACATTTAACAGGGATGAGAGGTGGGAGGGAAAGGGAAAGAGAAGGGAAATTGCATGGTAATGGAAGGAGACCCTCAGGGTTATACAGTGGAGGAGGTAGAGAGAGAGGAGGGGAGGGGAGGGGAGAGGTGGGGAGGGGAGAGGTGGGGAGGGGGGAGGGTGGAGGATGGGAAAGGCAGCGGAGCACAACAGACACTAGTATGGCAATTTGTAAATCAATGGATGTGTAACTGATGTGATTCTGCAATCTGTGTATGGGGTGAAGGTGGGAGTTCATAACCCACTTGAATCAAAGTGTGGAATATGATATGTCAAGAAATTTGTAATGTTTTGAACAACCCACAATAAAAAATTAAAAAAAAAAAAAAAAAGCATTTCAAGGTGCAAACTGACAAGTAATTACACCTCACTGTTCAAAAATTAATGTGTTTTGAAGTACATTATCAATACAGGATTAATGGTGTATCAGGAATGTACTTATTATCTAGATAATTACAAAGAAGAGATAATAGTTCTGCATTTAAGGATCTAATGGAAAAATAGGGAATAAATTATTTTTAAAAATCTGTTGATTACTAACAGCACTTATTTGCAACTCAGTAAAAAGGAACTCAAAAACTTTTAGGTGAGTGAAGGCATGGGCTCCACTGTAGTTACAATGATGACATGACACCCTTTCTTCTACTTCCCCAACAAAAAAAGAGTCAAAACTCTTATGGTTGGAAAATGAATGACATTGGCTTGGCAATGATGTAAACTGGGAAAACATGAAATATTTGGGAGTTTGTGAGATCCCATGGCTTCTCAATTTACCTGAAGTAAAGCTTAAGTAGACGACTCAGTTTTGTTTTGTAGCAACCATGTTATTTTCAGTTCAGACTACAGTTGTCTAGTTGAGCACAGTGGCACAAACCTGTAATCCCAGCAACTCTGGAGGCTAAGGCAGGAGGATTGTGAGTTCAAAGCCAGCCTCAGCAATTTAGCAACTTAGTGAGACCCTGTCTCTAATAAAATATAAAAAAGGGCTAGAGATGTTCACTAAGTGGTTAAGCGCCCCTGGGTTCAATCCCCAGTAATCCCCCCGAAAAAGAACAGAGTTGTCTACAGCCCCCACTTTATACCTGGCATTTACCTTGTGCTTGCACAAAAAATTATGATGCCAAGAGACACAAATCTGGTTATTTTGTTTGATTACCTGTTGTCTTCGTTTTTCCTCTTCAAGAACAGCTTTGGCTTCTGCTTCTTTTATCTGTTTAGATATATTAAAAAGTAAATTAACAATTTAACTACCAAATTTTATATAAAATTATAACATTTCCTCATTCAGGCTCTAAAAATCCACAGAGGCTTTTGGGAGCCTCAAATTAGAAATCACTTATATGTCAAATTGAGAAGTTTTACTAAGGTACCATCTAGCAGATTGAGGCTGCTAGTAGATGAAGTGTTATTCCTTAACTTATTATAGTAGATGTTAGATACACTTCAAAGCATTAAAACACTATACAGTAAAATGCTTTTAAATTTTCATATTTCCTGTTAAGTTATCATATTAAGAATTTTGAACCAATAATTAAGTTTCACATTTTCCTTAAGTTGAAATTGGCCATTTATTTCAAATGCCCTAACTGGAAGGAAATCCTTTAGTTTCAAACAAAATCAAGAATTTATTAATTGACCGAGTTCACGGGGGGGGGGGGGGGGGCGACACACCAGTAATATTGGTGACACCGCAAACAGCACAGAATCCCAAAATCTTATTCTTTTATTTTGTTAACCTAATATTCAGGAGGCATAGGCTAACATTAAAACAAATGACCATGACCCAGAGCAAATATACTAACTACGGAAAGCTCAGGTACACATCAGGCAGTAAAAAGCACACCTTGGATTCAAAATAACCTTATAAAACTGGGCTTTTATAACAAAAGCAAAAATATAAGATTTCAAATTCTTTTTATTAAGAACACAAATAAATGTACAAAATAAGTAAAGAAAGGCCACTAGCACATAAAAAAATTGTATTTAACAAGATATTACCTCAGATGCTTTCCGCTTCATTTCTTTGCATGTTGCATCACATTCTACTGAAACCTGATTTTCACGTACTTTACTGCATGGCAATTCCTACAAATAATGCAAACTTCAAAGTTTAAATAATCTTTCCTTTAAATTCACAACTGTATGCTATAAAAACATAAAATTTATCCAACAGCTTAAGGTTATAAATATTTAGTAGTCAAGTTCATTAATGTTTAATGATGTAGTTAGAAGTTTGGATATCTTTGTTCCAATAGTGATTACTCCCATTTGCTTCTTTTCATTAGAAGAGTGAAACACCATAAAATTAAAATAATCCACTTAATAATTATTTACTAAGTGCCACAATCAATTTCACTCTAATTTATTTTTGTTCTTTACTTTTCTTTATTGCTTCTTGTTATTCTTCCAGGGAATAAATGTTCTCAAACAGTGCTATCCAACAGAGCTTTCTGGGATAATGGAAATCATCTAAATGTGCACTATTCAGTAGAGTAGCCTTAACCACATATGACAAGTAAGCATTTAAAACAAAATATGATTAGACTACCTCAGGAACCAAATGTGAATACTCTTTCCTGTTAATTCACTAAAATACTCATTTAAATAGCCCACATATAACTAGTGCCTATCATCTCAGTGTAAGTCTAAAGATGTTTCTCTCAACTGTTAATGCTTTTTTTAAAAAGTTTAGAATGAAACTCTTCTAAAGCTTATGATTACACTTCATTGCATAAGTACTATAGGTAGCAAACTGTACTTGGATGAAACAAAATATCTCACAGAAAACTGAAGAGACATCTCAGATTATAAGTGGGGCTTGAATACTTATATTTAAATTTTCATGTTTCCTCTTAAGTTATCATATTAAGAATTTAGAATCAATTATTAAGTAAACACCAGGTAGCAACTTGAAATATCAGGCCTACAAATTTAAATGTAGAATTTACCCATCACAGAAAAATATACTTGGAGCTATGGAAATAAATGAAAAGCAAAGGCCCTATAAAAGATCCTCAATAAATACCTGCTGCATGGATGAACAAAAGAGTGAATGTAAAGAGAAAAATAGCACTTAACCTTTGGGAAAGATCATAGGAATATGAAGAAAAAAAGGAGTTACTGGCTGTGTCTGAGATATGGTAAATTGAGGTCAAGATAGAAGAAAGTTTTAAGAGTCTATACTGCCAACAGGGAAGTCAAGAAAAACAAGATCTGAATAAAACTCTTTCCCTTTATAAATTTTACTGAATAGTATACAGTTGGCTTCCACTGGGCCTTTCAATCATTGGTTTTCACCTGTTTATTCCTGTTACAATTATTTTATCTTAAAATAAATTATTTCCCAGTTTAAGTATTATTTCATTTATAAGGTTGTGCACATGAGGTCTTTTTAAGAAAACACTTTCAAAGCACAATACTTATGACAGATTCATAAATCAGAACAAAGCCTAATTCCAGGCCATTTCTTAAACCATGACACCCATTTTATCACACTGCATTGCTTGTTCAAAGACCTTAAATCTAGAGTTCAATGGCTCTATCCATAAAAAGGGCACTGAGCTTGATTCCAACATAAAACTGTCTTTCTTTTATTATTAAATTGAACAAAAGACTCATTTTAATTATAATAAAAATATTCTTTAAAATTAGAATACAAAAAATAAAATAAAGTCAAACTACCAAGTCAAATAGACAAAATCAAATCAAACAAGAACAACTTACACAGAAAAGTATTTTATACACTTAAAATACATACCTTTTTTATTCTTTTACAAGGACATCTGAGTTTTACCTTCTGGTTGCAATTAAAGGGACATTCACCAGGATGACACATCTCTTTACATCTATGTCCACAGGGAAGCTAAAATACAACCAAAATAAAGCAATTACATATTTACATTTTGGTCATATTGTACCCTTTCCCACACCAAGCAATTATTTTAAGGATGAGCCCATCACACATAGGGACCAATTAATGCTGATTAATGAATGAGCTAATTTTTCAATTTTTTTCTTTTTGGTACATTATTTTAATTATATAGAAATTTTAAACATTCTTCCCAACTCCACGCCAAGATTATCTCAATTATCTCACTGCCAAACTGCAGCTAGTTATAGTTATGTAACTAGGTTTTAGGAAACTGAATATAAAGCAATAAAAGTGATTTTTGCCTTAAAGCATTTCAAAAGAGTACTTCCATGTTCTTCCCTTCCCCATGTGCTGTAAGTGAAATCTTGAGCAATAATGGAAACTATGTCAAAGACAGGTGAGGTGCCCAGCTAACTTGGATCCCTGGATGAATACATGGGACACATTCCTACCCTCCCTGCATTGTGATATGAGAAAGGAAACTTTTTTTGTCCTTAAGCCACTGTACTGTGTTGTAACTGATTAGCCCTTTACTCCAAAACATATTCTTTGACACTATTTACTAATACCCATGATTCAGGCAGTCCAAACAACTCAGTAATCACCATGACATTTGTATCTCTGGTTTTTAATTATTTCCTATCTTATTATCCCAGTCAAGCTTTCAGATGAAACATTCTTTCCCTATTTATTCAAATATTATCCACACTTCCAGACACAGCTTATATACTATAAAAGCCTAATATGAGTTTGTCTATAAATATATAATAGGAGTAATTTAAAACATCTATTTCTAAATTGTTGTGGTACTGCTGTACTGTCTTGAACTATAGCTAAAAAAACAAATTGTTAGGCACTTCAAATATTTCTGTTTCTCCAACCAGAAAATAAGTATACAAATATGCTCTTGGTTAGGGATTAAAATCCAAAACCAGACTACCTGGAACTGATTTAGATTCCCTGTTTACTAACCATGGGACTTAAGGCAAGTCACCTCACTTTTCTGTTTCACATGCTCCGTTTCACTGCAACAAGTGATAACACTTTATAAAGCTGTTGTGAGGTTTAAATGTGTTCAAAATAGTTAGCTATTATAAGTTAGTTGAGGGCAATGATCTTATATTTCTTCATGTCCCTCATCTCAAAATCCCTAACAAAGACATCTTTTAAACAGTAGACACCTCAACAAACATTTAAATTCTCCATTTCTGATTCTCTATGATTCACCAGATTGACCTTTCAAACTACTGACTCCATTTACTTTACGAAATTCTGAATTCTCCTCCTGTCTTTAGCCTCTCTCTAGCATACAACTAGGCTTGTTTGCTTTTTCATTTTTAGCCAAGTCATTCAACTCTAAAACTAAGCTTGGATCACTCACATTGTGACTTCCACTAATCCTACCATAGGGAAGGTTACTGCCAGCGTCAGTTTTACACTGGACACTGCTGAAGTACTTTGGTTCTGTTGTTCCCTTCAGATAATTCCAGGCCCTTAATAAGTTCAGTATTTACTCATATATCAAATACTCGCCTCATAGAGATTTCAGGTCTTTGTATTCCTTTATTCTCACCTTCACTCCTGCAGTGCCTCTAGCCTGACTTTATAAAGAAGACAGACAGCACTGGCTCATCTGTCTTCTCTTCCCCTCAAAATAAATAAGATATAGAGATAATTTCTTAATCTTTTCTTAATGTCTGAGAGAATTTTATCAGTCACCTCCGAGAGTATCTATTCTGCTTCAATTTGAAATCAATAATTCTAAGAAGAAAGTGAATAAGGAAATATGTAAAGCCAATAAAGAAACAGAATAATGGCTTCACTGATCAGTATTTTAGTCCTCCAATGCATTGGCAGTTTTTTGAAATTAGTGAAAAAGTGTTATTAGTTTTGATTTATATAATTCTGCCTCTTCACAATTTCACTGACGTCTTAAAAGTCTCTCTTTTCTCTGGCTGGGTCTCCTACTTTCAAAATATATATCTCTTTTCTCTAGATTTTTCAATTGATTCTGCTACCTCATCTAATTACTACTGCATGAATCTCCTCACCTTTCGATGTTTAGTGCTGCTATATAAACTGAAATGCCTGCCTGGTTCACCACGAATCTCCCAGGAGTCACAGCCATGGTAATGCTACCTATTCTCTAGTTCCCTCTTTGTGGCTGCCTGTTCCAAGGAGAGACCTTGGGTCCAACATGAGCACCTGAGTTTCTCCTGCCCTTTCAAAAGTTTGGCTACACATTATTTTCTTTACAATCTGTAAACTGTGTTCAATATCCACTAAATACATCTTTTTGCCATAAGTTAGAATAAAGTTAGAATCAGTTTTGTAGTTTTCAACTAGGAGAACTGAAACTCATCGAGAAGTACACCATGCTGAAACCCAACATATAACCACAGGCAAAAGTAATGTCAAAAATCCTAAGAAGCCATTCAACTCATCTGTAAACAGGGAAAAGTAAATTAAAATCACAAGGAGATGCAAAAAAAAAAAAAGGCAAAAATAAAAACGTTTGCCAATACTAAGTATTGTCAATGATGTTAAAACAGGAACTTTCACACACTGTGAGTGGGAAAATTTTCTGATAGATTTCATAATGGGAAAATGACCTGATTGTAAATTGGTACAAACATTTTGCAAGTCGATTTGACATTATTTATTGAAGTTGAAATTATACATTCCATGCAACTAAGCAATTAACCTACTACATACCTACAGAAATCTGTATACACATGTTCCCAGATGAACAAGCAAGTTGTTCACTGCAGTATTTTTTATAACAACCCAAACTAGAAACAACCTAAATGTATTCAGTCATGAATACACTATAGAAGAACTATAGTGTATTCATGACAGAATAAATGGACTACAGCTACATGCAATCAAAATGACAGATAAGTAAAGTGTATACTTTTAAATTTTAAATACAAAATTAGGCAAACAATAAATACTATTTGTAGATAAACACTCAGATAGTAAAAACTAAATAAAAGCATGATTACTACAAAAGGCAAATGATAGTTACATACAGAAGGAGGGAACAGTAGAGATGCTGGTAGACTTCTGAGATGCCAGCAATGCTTTGTTTTTTTGACCTGGGTGGAGTTATATGGTATTCACTTCTTATCTATGTGTTAGACTATACATATATGTGATATTTCTTTGTTTTAAAAAATCAAATTCCACACATGTATGAGTTTATCAAAATGAACGCAACTACTATTTATAACTATAATGCTCTAATCACATAACAATTTCCTTGTTAGACATGAAAGTATATGTTATCTCAACTGCTGTTATATTCTAAAAAAATTGAAAAGTAGTTATAAAGAAAGTTGATTAAAATGCATAATATATAATGACTATATCTTCATCACAGATTTCACAGCAGAAGTTTTTCTAAGATATCCAACCTCAGTATTACAGTATTAAAGATGAGCTATCCCATCTACCCTTTCCATTCAAAATGGCATGGGTTTCTTCTCCACATTGCTCTCATATGCTAGCACTTTTAATGAGCCACATCAAATGGCTTACCTACAACTAATACGATTTAGATCAAAATGTCCCATTTTAATCCTAATAACGAGAAATTTTTCTAATATTATGAAAAGTTTATAAAACAATATTGTTTGTAGATAAATACCATTGTCTCTAGCTACTACATATACTAGGAATTTAAAATGTTATTATTTCATTATACTTACCATACAAGAGGACCTTTACATGTTATTTCATTACCACAAACATAGCACTCTTAACTGGAAATTACTGCCCCCATTTTATATATGAACAACTTGAGTTAGAGATTAAATAATATGTCCAAGTAAAAAGTAATACATTGTACATGGGAATGATAAAAACAAATTCAAAATGTTTTGAAAGTAGAAATACCACATGATTTCAGTTTGCGTAGAATCTAACAAACTCAGAAGTAGAGAGTAGAATAGTGGATAGCAGGGTGTGGCAGGCAGAGGTGGGAGTGGGTGGCTGTTGGGAAGATGTTGGTCAAAGTACACAAAATTTCATCTAGACAGAATAAATTCAAGAGATCTATTATACAACATAGAGACTATAGTGAATGGAGTGTATTATATTCTTAAAAACTGCTGAGAGTAGATTTTAAGTATACTTTACCACAAAAAAGCACACATGTGAAGAAATACACAAGATTTACCTACTCTACAATGTATACATGTTTCAAAATTATGTTATACATAATAATTGCTTTTCAATTAAAAAATTTTAAGAAAACTTTAACAAAATAATTCAAGCCATGTTTCATGTAAAAAAAAATTGCAAATTTTCATTTAGTTTCTCTTTATATATTCCAAAGTGTAGAAATACACTTACAGGGCATAGTTTACAGGTACAGTTCTTATTGGCATCTTTATTTTTTCAATAAAATGCAAACCTAACAGTCTAGAAAACACACACAATGCATATAAGGGAAGCAGAGTAGTAGAAGAAATATGCTATGCCACTCCCACATTTTATTCACATTCCATGGGTATTTACCAACCAGGGAGCCAGGGAATCAGGCACTAGATACAAACATATACATACAAACATACTTGCCCTTAATAAATCTACAGTATGGAGAGAGAGGAAAATAAACAGGAATTAATCAGTATATTGGAATTTATAAGAAGCCTATACTTTCTTTCAGTACAAGATATCTACTTGATTCAAAGTGACATGCTTTTTTGTTAATCCTAATTATAGCTTGACTCTATAGCTCAGTGGTTCTCAAAGTGTTCTATAGAGTGAGTGACACTAAAGAGTGTCACCATACTTGAGAACTTAATAGAAACATAAACCTTAGGCACCACATATACAAAATCAAAAAGTATGGGGTAGGGCCCAGTGATTTGTATTTTAAGAAACCCTTGAAGTGATTCTAATGCACACTAAAGTTTGAGAACACTGCTATAGCCTTACCAACTTAAGAGTAATAAACCAAAATGATTTCTGCTAGACACAATGAAATAAATGCACCTTTGCACTCCTTGATTATTCCCAATTATAAAAGTCATTTGGATTGCTCCTAAAATATATGTATATTTTTTAAGAAAGCCCAAGGAGCCAGGGGGGCATGGTGGCACACACCTGTAACCCAAGTAGCTCAGGAGGCTACGGCAGGAGAATCCCAAAATCAAAGCCAACCTCAGCAACAAAGCCCTATGTAATTTAGCAAGACCCTGTCTCAAAATAAAATATTAAAAAAGGCCTGGGGATATGGCTCAGTGGTTAAGTGCCCCTGGGATCAATCCCCAGTACCAAAACAAAAGAAAACCCAAGGAGATTCTGGCAAGACCAGGGCCTCCAGAATGACCTAGAATCCAAAATCTTGAAAGCAGATAAGAAATTTTTAAATAAACATACTTACTCAACGCCATAACAGCATCACCAGAACTAAGGCAATGCTAAGTTGCAAAATAGCAACCCCTGAATTAAATGATCACATTTCCACTTACAAAACCATACCAAGTTCTGAGTCAGATTAAAAGTAAAATAACCTCAGCTACTTATTACCTAGACTCTGAATTGAGACAGAAGAAAATTTATTTTAACAGGGAATTTCAGGATTTAAAAAAAAAAAAAATAAGAAAATTAACTTTGAAATATCCCATGTACCTAGTTGCATTTATATACCAGACAGGATTGTTAAAATAATCATTTGTTGTTTGAAATGGTCTCTCTTTTGATAACCTTAAAATTCTCAGGTTCAAATTTCAAGTTCTTAAACAGAAATCCACAAAATTGGTCCAAAGTTTGAGTTAAAAGGAAATACTGCTAATAAAAATTAAAGATTTAATCAAACAATTATATTTAAGACTTAATTGTCATCTCTTCCCCACATTAGAAAAAGAAACAATTACGTAAGTGCATCAAACAAATAATTTAAAGGAAAGAGGTACTACTTGGTATATCAATAGGTCAAAAGTATCTCTTTTTAAATGTTTTTAAATGTTTACTCAAATCAAATAACTGTCACTATCATTCCCAAGAATAAAAACAGGAGCACCTTCCCTTTCAGAACAGTCAGTTAGACATGGACTTGCTAGAGGGTTTTGAAATTATTGCCAAGACAAGTCACTGGTCAGTGTTTACCATTTTACTCTGAACAACTTTTTCAAACAACTTTTGATGATTTTTTAAAAATATGATGCTTAAAAGTAAAATATTCTAAGCTACTTATAAATTATAATCTCAACTGAGACAGAAGAAAATTTATTTTAACAAAAGGCAATTTTCAGAATTTGAAAATTCAAAAAATTAAGTTTGAAATATCCCGTGCACCTAGTTTCACTTATATAACAGAATTGTTAAAATAATCATTTATTGCTAGAAATGGCTTCTTTTTTATAATCTTTATATAATTATTATATAATTTGCACATATTGTACATATATGATTATATATATGTACACACACACACACACACACACATACTTTATACCAATTGGTAATAAACTGTAAAGGTTCAACCATATGAATGGTACTAGCACCAAAGAACACAATATCTTCTGTGACAGCATATTCAAATACTATGGATATAAAGGTCTATCCTCCCACATTATCCCCTATAGTAGCACACACATGTGCAGGGATGCACATGCATGCACACACACATGCACATACACACACATGCAAATACACACAAACACATACTTTTTAAAATAACTACTATGGATTTACTGTCTAACTGCCCAAGACTCAGACAGTTCTACATTTATACTTTAAGCATGAATCACATTTTAGGGGGGTAAACACTAGGTCAATATTTTTTACATAAAGTTACTTTAAAACTGCTTTCTTTAAAAAAAACAAAAACAAAAACAAAAAAACTTCAAAGGGTCATTCTTCATTTTATCTCCAAATAGCACGTGCATCTATTCTAACCATATGTGTTAGATTTTTATAGACATCACTCACATTTCCTTTAACATGTACATTTTTAGTGGGTCCACAAAAGACCCACTAAAAAAAGACCTGAACCAAACAAGAAAAAGAAAATCCCAGAGAAACAATACCCAAGGAACCCAACTTAAAAGGTCCTATTACAGCTTACCTCTTTAGGGCACTGATTTTTGCAACAACTGAGGAGGTTCTTTTCATTTACATCAGCTGTGGTTATTTTTCTAAAAATAGGACAAATACTTTGATGACATTCAAACCAAAGTCCGTTTCATAGCATTTTTCTAAAACTAATTCACAAGTTCAAATATATCCATAAAATTATTTTTTCTAAATAAATATTAATTATGTATCTATCTGTAACAATTGTCTTCTGATAACTCAAACTAATCAGTCCTTTATCTACTATCAACAAATCAAATGCAGAAAGGCAATCACTATAGGAAACAAGTACAAAACACACATAAAACACCATCCCCACCCACACCTGCCTTCTCTTTAACAGTCCCTGCTTATATCTTTTCCTATAGATAATAATAGATCACTATAGATCAGTTATTATTATGATAACTGTAATTCTCCATTAAAGCTTCTACAATAAAATTAAAAACTAGTATTTTATGTTACTTCAAATTGAATCATTTAGGCTATTCAGTGAAAAATGCAATAAGTTGAATGGGAAAACTTTTTCAGTTGTTTCTGGGCAAGCTATCTATTAATGTTAGAAATTAATTCATTTTAGATCAATCTACACTTTCCCGTGATTTTTTTTGACTCAGTATTATTCAAAAAAAGTCACAAACATCAAGAAATAAAATCAAGAAATACTGTTCTAAAAGAACTGAATAGAACCACCATGAACAATAACTAAGCCAATAAAGCCAAAGCTCCCTATTGTATATATTTCATTTTCCTCTTATTACCTTTATTCTCCTGTCTTTCCTATTCCCTTCGCTAGGCAAAACTGCCAAAATTTAATCTGACTAATGTTAATTAAAACTATTATATTAAATAAGCTATAAATCCACTCTCAGATTATGTCTCAAATTTCTTCACGGAAATAGCACAAAGTATTTATGCTGATTCTGTAAAAAGCTGTTGCATATTTTCCATTCGTACAAGTATGGTATTCACTTCAAAAGTAAATATAAGGGCTGAGGTTGTGGCTCAGCGGTAGAGGACTTGCCTAGCACAAGTGGGGCCCTGGGTTTGATCTTCAGCACCACATAAAAAGAATAAATAAATAAACAAAATAAAGGTATTTGTCTATCTACAACTAAAGAACAAAAATTTTTAAATTTTTAAAAATTTTTTTAAATTAATATAATTAGGGCTGGGATTGTAGCTCAGTAATAGAGCACTTGCCTAGCACAGGTAAGGCACTGGATTCAATCCTCAGCACCACATTAAAAAAATAAATAAAATAAAAGTACTGTGTCCATCTACAACTAAATATATATATATATATATATATATATATACACATACACACACACACACATATGTATATATATATATATATATACATATATACATAAAAAGAGAGTTAGTATAATTATGTTCCATAATTAGAAATAAATCAGCTTTTCAAGGCTTACATCTTTTATATCTAAGAAGAAATTTAGACAAATCTGAAGGGACTAAAAGGAAAAATAGCTTGTGAAATAATTGACTGAATTGAAAGCATGTTAAATTTATTGGAACAAAAATAATCTATATAAAAACACATATTTGATATATATTTAAGAAAAGGAAAGCATTTCTGTTTTCCTTTTCTCCAGAAACAAGAGCTGAGGTAATGGAAATCACATCAACTCAAAGATATCATACATCCTTCCTCAAAACGACATAGCTTATTAATAACAAATAAAATCACTCAAATCCACAAGTTCAGCATAACTAGAAGACAGAAGTTCCTATAAACCTCAAATTACCTATAAGTAGAAAAATAAATACCAATTCCTAGCAGTTATTTCAAGTTCCCTCTTTCAAGTCTTCAGAGACAGGGGAACTCAGGATAAATAGCAGAAAAGAGAAGAAGGGACTGAGCTAAAAATCAAACAAGAGTGAAAATACTGAGTAAGTCCTGCTAGATCAGAGCACTGACAGAAGGGATAGTCTTTTTTTTAAAGCACACAAGATTCAAATAGCTGATCCTGGAAAAGCAGTCCTCTGGGAAGAAGAAGTTATAAGTGAAAGGCCCTCTATGGAGACTACAAGAGGAAGAGGAAAAGGAGCAGGAGGGGAAATTTAGGACCCTTTAAGGCAAAACAAACAAACAAAAAACAAAGCAAAAGAAGGACACATAATGCTTCCTCCCAATACTACACTAAGAAGTCAATCATTAAAAAGTTGTATTTCTCAACACTGACAGAGTGTCATCAATTTACCCAAGACCAGGATAACTTCAGCTATAAAAATGAAGAAATGTAATTTATATCTACAAAAAATTACTAAAAGAGCCAGGTGTATCCTAGCAGTTTAGGAGGCTGAGACAGGAGGATTCCAAGTTCAAAGCCAGCCTCAGCAATGGCAAGGCACTAAGCAACTCAGTGAGACCCTGTCTCTAAATAAAAAATAAAATAGGGCTGGGAATGTGGCTCAGTGGTTGAGTACCCCTGAGTTCAATCCCCGGTACTCCAAAAACAGAAAAGAAAAAAAATACTATAAGAAATAAGTAGAAAATGATAATCAAAACTTTTCAGCTGATGAAAAATCTCTCCTACTTCACCTTGTACGCCACCAATATTCCTAATCTGAAAATTCGAGTGCAGCATTTTGGATTTCTGGATCAGGGATGTCCAACAGTAAAGTCTATGTAAGTATTCCAAAATCCAAAGAACTCCAAAATCTGAAACACTTCTGGTCCCAAATATTTCAAATACAGGATATTCAATCAGTTCAAAGAAAAAGGAAATTGAAACACAATATTCCAAACTGAATTAAATCTCAAAAGAAGCACTGTAGAATATGGAAAACTACCTGTGCAGAAAAGAGTGAACCTTGCAGGCCTATATTGGGAAGAGATGCTAGAAGCTTCAGCCTGGTCTTTCCTGAACTTTGCCCCAAGTGCCTTTTCCCTTTGCTAACTGTGCTTTGTATTCTTTTGCTGTAATAATATACAATGTGAAAATGACTATAAGCTGAGTACTGAGTCCTCCAAGCGAATTATTAAATCTGAGTGTGGCCCTGGGGACATATAACACAGTAACTAGAAAAATCAAACCCTAAGAACATAAATAGGAAAGGAAAAAAAAAAAAATAGAAATTAACCAAGGTTAAATGAATTCAGGAAAATAATTTTTAAAAATAAAAATATATCAGAAAAAAAATAAACTATAAGGTAGACAGCAAAGAATACAGAAAAACACATTTGAATAAAAATTTAAAAAGGATTCTTGAAGTGAGAAGGAAAACCAACCCAGTATATGAAAACAAAAATGAGACAAAGTGTCAAAGAAATGAGTGGTTGAAATGGAAAACTGAAAAATATCCAACATATAATCAATTGATATCTCTAAAGATGAAAAAAATAATGAATGGAACAGAACTAGTATTTGAAACTATAATCCAAAAAAACAGAAGTACTGAATCTAAATAGCAAAAAGGTCCAAATGATACCCTAGAAAACTACACAAAACTTTTAATTCTGAGTCATATCTTAGTAAAAACTTAAATACTAAAGACAATAAAAAAGAAGAAATATGGAAAAAACTAAATCCAAGGATGCCAAGCAAAAAAATCAATTCAACTAACTTAAAAGGGAAAGTGAAACTGACATTAAACTTGTCAAAAGAAAAATATAAAGAAAGCAACACAAACCAATATTTTCAAGAAAAGAATACATAAACTAAGGACATTATATCGATCAATTATCAATCCAACAGGAAACAATCTTAAATATGAAAGAACTCAGAAATACTATACCACAAATCTACCTCTGAATGCACATCATTCAACCAAGAAAGGATTAGAGAAATTTAAGCAAAAAACCTGATGGTTAAAATTGAAAATATAAAATTACAGATCTAAAACAGAAACAAAGGTGGTTATGAGGGTGTAACAATATATAAATGCTACATCAAATCAAAATGTAACTAAAAACTAAGAGAATAAGGGAAAAGAAGAAAGGCAAGTAGAATAATCTCACTGGTTGTCATATAGTTCCTAAATAAAAAACCAATGATAAAAGTTGGCAAACCGGTTAATAAAAGACTGAAGAAACAGGAATCTAAGGACACTGCAATCAGGTAAGTACAAAAGTAACCAACCACAAGACAAAACATGATCCTTCCTAAATAAGTTTTAAAATGAGAACAAAGAAAATACCTCACCCAGATAACATAAACACAGGAACAAAACTTATTATGAAGTAATTACAGAGCTTACCAAAAGTAAGAGAGATATTCAAAACTGTGAAAGGATTTATCTTGCCATATCTAAATAAAAAAGGGATTGCAAATCCAAGATCAAAAAAGAATACAAGCCAAAAAATATTAAATGTGACAAAGAAGGATACTTTTTAATCCTAAAAGCCCTATTAGTTAAGAATTCTATGCAACATAAAACCGATCAACCATTTTTATAAAGCAAAAACTATAGTAGTTGCAAAAAGATACAGAAACACACTAAATATATAGGATTTTTATATCACACCTTTAGTATAAGACAAATCTGTAGAACAAAAAAAGGAACCCACATATAAGGCTTTCAAATATAATGGAATTAGAACATAAGTATATAGAAAACATTAAAAAATGATCAGAGAATCAACACCCATTAAACATGTTCAAAGTAAAAATTAAAGCATGAAAATAAATAAAATTCCTAATTGAAAAGTTTTTTTTTTTTTTTAAAAAAAAGGAAAAACTAATGATATAAACAGAAATTAAAGTGGTAAAAAAGAAGTCAATCCAATCAATTAATAAAATCCTGGGGGCTGAGGATGTAGCTCAGTAGTAGAGCACTTGCCTAGTCTATGCAAGGCCTTCAGTTCAATCCCCAGTACCCAAATACTGGGTTTTTTTAAAATAACAAAACATATATTCTAGCTAACACTCAAGAATCAGGATGAGAGCATAAATATTCAAATTAAGAATGACAAAAGAAAAAAATTATAAAATGGTAAAAAAAATTTTAAATCATATACAATTTCTTTGAAAACCTTTATAGAAATAAATTTGAAAACCCAAGATGAAACTGATAATTTCCAAAGAAAATACAGTTTTCCAAAATCAACCCCATGAAAGAGACATTTTTATTTTGTCAAAAGTAAGAAAGTATTAAAAACTGATGTAATGGCAAAGGGACATAGGGACTAGTTTAAAGGTGCTCCCATGAAAATTTGAGGGTCAGTAATTTAAACACAAAATGATAGTAATAAGAATACACTATCCCATGATGCTATTAATAAATGAGGAAAAAGGAAAAGCTACTCCTTATAGTAAAATTCCAATTAATAAATGTAGAAGAGATGATGGAGCTAGAAAATCAACATTTGGCACTATCATACTAACAACCAATTTATACTATAAATCATTAATGGATGCTGAAACCAGTGAGTAAAAGTTTTGAGGAAAAAGCTATACAATTAAAAAAAAAATGAATGTGATTTTAAAACTACGTGTTCAATCTTTTTTCATCCGTATCTCTCCTTAATGCAAAATTGACTTTTAACTCCCCATAAAATTTCTAAAACCATGAATTATGCTTTATTTTTAAAATTTCAACAAAATAATTTCAATACTTAAAAGTAAAAATTGGCTTTTAAAATTTAACAGAGCATGAGTTTAGAGTATGACAAAAATTTCAGACAATGTTAACAGCATTTTTCAAAATGTAATTATGCTAAAAAGAATCTGGAGTAGTTATAGTCCCAAATTAAACTTAAGTAAAATATGTTAACAAAAAGATGACTTTACAGACTGGTACAAAATAGAGCTGTCAGAGTCTAAGGTAAATTATGTTAGATCATTTTCCCTTCACATAATCTGCAAGAAAATTTTCCGTTTTTTTAAGTAAGGAAAATATAGCATTTATTATAACTAGGATATGATTTGTATAACAACTTTGTAATAAACAAAGGTCTACTTTTTAAATATATAATTCAAAAATTATGCCTAAGTAAACATAAATAAATCAAACAAAACTGTAGTTTGACACATATACAATCGGTTATAGGAATGTTTCTCTAATTTTTTAATAGCAGTGATACAACAATTTTCCTAACAAAATCTCACACAAAATCTCCAAATGGAATAAAGCAGAATTCCCCAGCTGAATTCACAGTAAGGTATCTAAAACGTGAAGTTACCTGTATTTCTTCCTTCCAGGTCTCTACTGAAAAATCTAGGCCTACAGAATTTAAGGAACACAACTGAACAACATTTTTGAAAGAAAATGTTCTAAATTATAAAAATATGCCATTCAACGAACTTTAGTAAAACAAGAATATACTTTTAGTCCACTTACCGACATTCCACATATAGGCTTGTGATCTTGCAGTGACATTTTATTCTAAGCATCTGAACACAAGGAGGGCATTCTCCTGGATGACATGGCAAAACACACAGATGAGGACAACCTGGTGGCCGTGATTTAGAACACCCTTCTTCACAATGAAGGCATTCTGGGCCAGCCTGAAAAATTGCATGGAAATCTATCACCTGAGAACAGAAGCTAATATTTCTATATATTAAAATTTTAAAAGTTAACTATCTAATTAAAATATTTTAAAAATATTTTTAGTAGTCATTAGAAATATAGTTAATAAAATAGCACATGCTCTCATTCACCTTAAAAACATTCAAGATGAAGAATAGTGAGACTGTCAATATGACCATTATTCATATAGATTTTTACGCCTATGAATCTTATTAAGTCAAACTACATCACCTTTAAAATATTAACTACATTAAGTATCTCTAATAAAATGCAAACTACTTCCTAAAAATTTAGAATAAAATGTTACCAATTCATTCACCCACCCACACAAAAACACAATCATCAATGAACTGAAGAAACCAACATTGTTAACACATTAATAAAATGCATATCAATGAACTAAAGTTCAATTGAATTCATAAAATATATATCAATTAAATAACGCTAAATTACATTTGCAAATAAACATACCTTGATGTAATTTAACAAGGCTTCTCTTCATGCTCTAGTGATTTAAGAATATAAATCACTATAAATTATCTGATAGTAATCAGATTTTATCAAATATTAAAGATTTTAATTGCAGGATATTTACTTTCAAATGTTATACTTGAGATAAAATAAATCAAAGAGCCAAAGACATGGATACTAAGTCTTAAAGACTAAGCATTTATATTATCATTCATAAGTATGGCCATGATTATACTTACATCAATAAAATTCTAATCTATTTTTGGGATTTAGGATTGAAAAGAAAAAGTCTTTCAAATTATAAAAATATTCTACAAATAATTTCTATTTTTTTTAATTATTAAAAAGTATATTCATTCGGCTTGGGAGTAAAAAAGATGGTGGAATGAGATGGATATCATTACCCTAAGTACAGGTATAAAGACACGAATGGTGTGAATATACTTTATATACAACCAGAGATATGAAAAATTATGCTCTTTATGTGTAATATGAATTGCAATGCATTCTGCTGTTTAAAATTAGGATTTTTTGAAGAAAAAAATATACTCATTCATTCTACAAATACTTATTCGGCATTTAACTGCCAGGCATTTTTCCAAGTACTGGGAACAGATGGGATCCCAGGAAGTTACAGTTAAGTGAAGAAGTAAAGAACATAAAAACTGTTTTTATAAGAAATTCTAAAGAAAGATAAAGCACAATAAGAGAGTGATGGCTGTAACAAGAATGCAACCTGTCCAATAAAGTTCATACTGAAAAAGAAATTGAGCTAAATAAGGAAGAAAACCAGAAGAATGCAGAATTCCAGAGAAAAGGAATAAATAAAGCTCTGAAGTAAGAACAAACTTGGAATGTTCAAGAAATAGCGAGAAGAGAGACAAGAAAGGCAATTAGGAGTTATATCAGCACAGAACCTCCTGGGCCATTGTAAGACCTTTGAATTTTAATCAGAGTGTGACAGAAAACTTCCCAAAGGTTGTGAACACAGAAATGTTACTTGATATACATTTCTAAAAAGATAAATCTGGTTAATGTAGTAAAATAAAACTATGAGCAGCAAGTTGGAAAGAGACTATGGAAATAGAGATAAGAGATAAAGGTGGTTATGATGAAGATGTTAGTTCAAACTAAAGGTAATGAGAAATGGTCAGATTCTATTTTGAAGATAAATCTAAGAGAATTTGCAATGAAGATAAGAAAGAAGTCAAGCGTGATTCCTAGGCAACAAGGTAAAAATGATGTGCAAACATGTAAAAAATGGTAATAAGACTTTTTGAAATGAGAAAGACTGAGGAAAGGACAATGAGCCACAAAGTATACAAACACAATCAAAATTAACAGTCTATTTTATTTGCTCTTTTTAGCTAAATACCTACAATAATCTTCTATTTAAAGAACATGAGAAGAGCATATCAGGCTAGGAGTTAAGAAATCAGGGATATCAATAACTGGTTTGATACTCTCCTGTTCAATGACCATAAACAAGTCATTATTAAGCTTCAATCAATATTAAGCTTCAGTTTCCCTATCTACAAAACAAGAATTATGATATGAGCTCCTTCCAGCTATAAAGGAAAAAAAAAAGAATCACTGAAAATCTATGTTTCCTAAACTATCTTCCTGCATTACTTCCAATATTGGTTCCATCTTCTAGGAAAGAAGATCTTAATTACGAAATACCTCAAGACTGGTTGTCAAATACCACATGTAGGCTCACTAAAAAGAGTCACTGAAGTTTTAACCAAGGAAATAATGCTTGAACAATCCACAATAATTCCCTAATGGTAAAGCTAGTTTTTTTATTTCATATTCTGGAAATCTGGAGAAGGAAAGCTATAAAGTACCTGTCCCCTAACTTGGAGACATTATCAGCATTTATTAATTGGTTTTATAATTCCTGTATCTTTTTCATTTTATCATAGGTACATTTTTCTTAAGGACCAAGGCATGTATTGATGAAAAAAATAAAGAAATTATAAGCAATATATTTACACATGTGCACATGAGTAAGAATTATACTGAGTATTTGTTGTCATGCATTATAGAACCTATATATATAGTGCTACCTACAACACAAGTAAAATCTTCAATAACATAATTCAAAATTAATTTAAATATCTGTAAACTTAATGTTACTTAATAATACAGGGAGGTTTAAAATTTCTGGCTTATTTTCCATAAGATACTAACCAATATTATTAGGAGTCCCTACATGGTGAAAGTCTAGGGAAAAACATTAAAAGTTTCTAAAGCCGAGCATGATGGCATACACCTGTAATACCAGCGTCTCAGGAGGCTGAGATAGGAGGATCCTGAGTTCAAAGCCAGCCTCAACAAAAGAAAGGCACTAAGCAACTCAGTGAGACCCTGTCTCTAAATACAAAATAGGGCTGCAGATGTGGCTCAGAAGTCAAGTGCTCCTGAATTCAATCCCCAGTACCACAAAAAAAAAATTAATTAAAGTTTCTAATTTAAAATCTGATTAGTTATATTTGTTTTTCCTTATAAAATGGCAAATTTTAGAGATATCTGAATGGGTAAGTTCAAATGCTTGTGAAATGCCTTTCATAAATATACCACACATCTATAATGCTATTTATATTCCAACAAAAGATTGGAAATTTATTAAAATTGTGAACATTATTTACCATATGTGTCAGGTGTGGAAAATATCTGAGAGCAAATGCTCTAAACTAACACATATGGGCAGGAGTGAAGATGATACTGCTACCTACTAAGAAGACATACAGATTCTGTATTTTTATCATAAAATCATAACCTGTGTATTAACACTGTATATGAAGAGTTTCACATTAAAAGACACATTTTTCTGAAGCAGGTCAAACATGAAGAGCAATAAACATCAAGTTGTTAAAAAGTCAGCTGTCTTAGGAAAAGAAAGGAAGGAGAAGGGATGAGGACAATGAAGATAAAAGAAGCTACAACAAAATGAAAAAATATTTATGGTATAATTGCTATAAAGAATGTTTCAAGCATATGGTAGGCAAATATATACTCAACCTAAAGATACTACCTTGTTTTTGTCACCGCAGCCTTCAACTTCAGTTACTTTGTGGCATTCTTTCATACAGGTATGATTCTGACAAGCTAAGATTCGTCCACAAACTCTCTTACAAGAGTAGGGTCCAACAGCATGGCATGGTACAGGACTCACCTAAACAAATAAAAAGGAAATTAGTACAATATACACACATACACAAAAAACACCAGAACCTATGTTTCCAAAATAACTTTGCTTTGAGAACTTTCACAAAAATCTAAAATGTTTTCGTTAATAATTTTTACTATCAAAACCAAAATGATGGGCTAGGGTTGTGGCTCAGTGGCAGAGCACTTGCCTCGTACAGGTGAGGCACTGGGTTCAAACCTTAACACCACATATATATCGATAAACAAAATAAAGATATCGTGTCCATATATAACTAAAAATATTTTTTTTAAAAAAATGACCTATCACAAAAAATTCCCTAAAAGACAGTTGCCAAGAAGCAAAATATTCTATTCCAATGGAAATTCAACATGATGAATCTATAATGAGTACATATATTCAGACAAATTCTCAAATGAAAGCATGAAATATTTTGTAAATTAGTAGAAAAAGGCTTGCATTGTTTAAGCTAAGGAAACACAATATTTTGACTGTTATTTCTAGTAACTCTAGTATAGATTAGGTACAGATTACAAGCTTTACTTAAAAATTATGCCTATGGGCTGGGGTTGTGGCTCAGTGGTACAGCACTTGCCTAGCATATGTGAGGCCCTGGGTTTGATTCTCAGCACCACATATAAATAAAATAAGTAAATAAATAAAGGTCTATCAACAACTAAAAAAAAATTTAAAAAAAAAACTATAACTCACCTCATGCTTCCCAAGACATTCCCTACAAGGAAAAAATAAAATGAAATAAAAACATTATAAATCTTCAGAAAGCGTTTTATTAAGAATAAAACAAACACAGAAATGATAAGTCACTGTGTAAACTTATAGGAAATAAAGTTAATATACACAGAGACCAAGTCTTTCCTATAAGTCAGTAAAGAGCAATTGAAATTTGAATTAAAATTACAATACTGACACATACAAAAAAATGAAATATTTATAAATCTATATATGTATATATGTATACATTAGTACACACACAAAAAAAAACAATATACAACTACAAAAGGCTGAGGAAACAAAAGGTTTTAAATAGAGGAGAAATATTTCATGTTCGTGGATAGGAAGGTTCAATATTATTAAGATGTCTTTATTTCCAATTTCACCTAGATTCGACACAATTCCAATCAAAATCCCAGCAAGTTACTTTGAGTATCAACAAACTGATTCTAAAGTCTGTATGGAAAGATAAACAGACCCAAAATAGTCAACACAACATTAAAGAACTAAATCAGAGGCCTGACACTGACTTCAAGACTCACTATAAAGCTACAGTGATCAAGACAGCATGTATTGATGAAAGAACAGACAAATCAATGTCAGGGCATAGGAAGACCAGAAACAGACTCACATAATTGCAGTCAACTGATCTTTTGACAAAAGAGCAATAGCACTGGATTAGACAAAGGAGAATAAAGGGAAGGGAGAGAAGATGGGAATAGGAAAGACAGTAGAATGAATCGGACATAATTTTCCTATGTTCACATACATGACAAATGTAACTCCATGTTATGTAGAACCACAAGAATGGGAAGTTACACCCCATGCATGTATACTATGTCAAAATACACTCTACTGCATTGGGTACAGGGTAGCATACTCCTCTCATCCCAGCTGCTCAGGAGGCTGAGGCAGGAAGATCATGAGTTCAAAGTCAGCCTCAGCAACAGCAAGGCAATAAGCATCTCAGTGAGTCACTGTCTCTAAATAAAAATATGAAAAAGGTCTGGGGATGTGCCCCAGTGGCTGAGCACCCCTGGGTTCAATCCCCAGTACAAAAATAAAATAAAATAAAATACATTCTACTGTCATGTATACCTAACAAAAAAAAAAAAAAAAAGATTTTTTAAAAATGGCAAACAACAGGAGAAAGGAAATTCTCATCCAACAAACAGTTGGTGTTGGAACAAACGAACGTCCTCTTGAAAAAAATCTAGACAGACCTTGCACTTTTCAAAATAGATGACTCAAAATGTATCACAGACCTAAATGTGAAATGGACAACCTAATTAAAATAAGATCTGGGTGACCTTGGGTTTAGTAATGACTCTTTAGATACATCACCAAAAGTATGATCCATGAGGAAAAAAAAAAGAAGGTAAGTTGGGTTTTATTACATGAAAAACTTCTGCTCTGCAAAGAACACTTTGGAAAATGAAATACAAACCACATACTGGGAGAAACCATTTGAAAAACATACACCCGGTAAAGGATTTATGTCCAAAATATACCAAGAACTCTTATACTCAAAGTAAGAAAGCAAACACCCTAAGTAAAAAAATGGGCAAAAGATCTGAACAAAGAATAGATATCTCATCAAAAGATCTACATATTGCAAATAGTGTATGAAGATGCTCAACATTATATGCTACTAAGGAACTCAAAATTAAAATGAGATGCCACTATACACCCATTGGAGTGGCTAAAATTCGAAATCCTAGCAGTGTATGTGTTGTGAAAGATACAGAATATCAGGGGCTCCATTCATTGCTAGTGAGAATACAGACTGGTATAGATATGTTGGCAGACAGTCTGAAAGCTTTGTACAAACCTAAGCTTGCTACGCGATCCAGCAGTTGTACACCTACTTAGGTGTACTTACGTACACTTACTTAGGTGTACTACTTACCCAATCGAGCTGAAAACATATCCACACAAAAATCTGCACATAAATGTTCATAGCAGCTTTACTCTTGGTTCAAAAATCTTGGAAGCAACCAAAATCTCCTTCAATAGGCAAATGTATAAGCAAACTACAGGACTTCCAGATGTGGAATATTACTCAGTGATAAAAGGAAATGAGCTATCAAGTCATGAGAAGACATGAAGGAACCATAAATGCAAACTGCTAAATGAAAGGAGTCAGTCTGGAAATGCTATATACTATAGGATTTCAACTACTGTATATGATGTTCTGGAAAAGGCAAAACTATTAGTAATTAAAAACTTACCACAGAGAAAAGCCCAGGACCAGATGGCTTTATCAGTGAATTCTACCAAATGTTTAAAGAAGAATTCACACTACTCCTTAAGAAAGGATACCTCCCAACTCATTCAACGATGTTAGTATTTCTCTGATACTAAAACCAAAGAAAGCTATCATAAGAGAAATACAAACTAATATTCTACATGAATAAATTCAGGTTAAAAAATTCTCAACAAAATAGTAGCAAACTGAATCCAATAACATGTAAAAAGGACTATATACTATAACCCAGTGGGAGGAAAAATGAGAACAACTTTTAAAAAATAAATAAGAATATTTCCTTTAAAAGACCAATAGGCAACACATACTAATGTTAGATTTGGAACCTTAGTTGTAGACTACAGACCCTTTTCTAATTTTATGTAGCTTTCCAGAATTCTGTGCTTCTTTTTCCCTATAATCCATAGCTTCTGCTTAAAATATGAAACACTCCAGGATTGTCTATTCCCTCCGATTCAACTGTTAGAGCTCAAATACAGTCATCCCTTGGTCCATCCAGTAAACTACCTCCTTTAATTTCCAATGTTTCCTTGAACACTCTTTCAAGTCTGACATCTAAAATCCTAGCTTTCTTCACCCCCAAGGAGCTAGTACTCTAACATGGGAATCATCAGGAAAAGTAACAAACAGTAAGTCTCTTAGATGCGCTTTAATTAACTGTAAGCACAAGTTGCTATGAAAAGGTGAAGGACATTAAACTCCAGCTGGGGAGAAGACTCAAAAAGAATGAAGAGAAACACAGAAACTAGGTTAGAGGCCAAACCTGAAATAAAGATGAAATGAACTAAGACAAAGGGGAGAGCTTGTCAGTCTACGTCAAGAGATTAAAATAACAAAAAGCAACAACAACAACAAAAAAAAGGTTAAAATTCTAATACTCACATAGAAATAGGAACTTGACATGGAGGACAAGGTAATGCAGTCTGAATAAATGCTGGCTCAGAAGGCTGCTCCCAAGGACCTGAAGGTTGGTGCTATGAGTAAAACACATGACAAATTTAAAGATTAAATTTAAAGGATTAAATTTAAAGGATTAAATCATATGACTCTTAATAATCAAAGAAAATAGCTCCCATATATCCTCTGCTCAAGCAAACTGAAAATTGTTCAAGTAATTAAAAAATTCTGCTTATTGAAATATTTTATTCCATTTATATACTCAGATTGTTCCCCTCCACACAATTAAACATTAAATACCAAGGCTGACTCCAGTTTTTAAAAGGTAGAACAAAGGCAGTGTAGCCTTCTTTACTTCTCATAATCCAAAAAGAGAATGAAATACAACTGTAAACTCTACCACTCATTAGTTCACTGTAACCTCCACTATTTTATTCACTGTTGTTCCTCATCACCTAAAAGAATTCTTGATACATAATAAGAGCTCAATAAAGACTGAATTAAGTGAATGAATTGCTAAGAAAATTAAAGGCTATCTATAACCCTAAACCATAATATATGAAGAAATACTAGCAAATTCATCTATATTCCTGGATTTACATAACTATCACACTGATTTGCAAACATTTGTTTATTTTATTTCCTTTTCTAAGAGTTTATGAGTTTTATTTTTATTTTTTTGCAGTGTTGGGAAATCGAGTTTTGCACATGCTAAGGAAGTGCTCTATCACTGAGCTACACATCCAACCCTTATAATATGAGCTTCATAAGACAAGAGACCAACTCTTATTTTCCTTGTACACCAGCTCCTAGCACAGTGCTTATTATCTAAAAAGTATTTCATCATTTTTTATTGAATGACTATGTAAAATCCAGAAAATATGATCCACAGCAATGCATCATCTATTTAATAATACTGTTCTCTTACCCTGCCTGTCTGCTTTATTAATGCTTGATCATGACATGAAGCAGGACACAAGTGACCACATTTCTCCAAAACTTTTTGGCAAGGTTGATGACATGGTGGACAAGGACCAAAATGACAACGATGTTTTTCTCGACTTGTATGATGGCATGTTGGTGGTCGACTAAATCACAAAATACAAATTGTTACTTTTGACCATTGAACAATTACATCTAAAGTGCAACTATCTATATATCTTCTGATTCCATATAGAATGAGCATACTATGAAAATATTTTAATATATCAAAGAAAAATTAAATTACTAATATATTAAAAATCAATATGAATTTAAATTATAAAATACCAGATATAAGTTTATGCAAAGCTTTATACCAACCTGCATATCTCTTTGCATTTGGGTGGCCTTGTGGTTCGTTCTCGGCCACAAGGTACTGTCACTTTTGCATTACCACAATTGCACTTTACATCTACAGTTTCTGGGCATGGATAGCAACTGCCTGACCAAAAAAGAAATAAAATAAACAAAGTCTTACATTTAAAAAGAAGTTACTTTATAATCATCCAAATGCTCATGTGGTAGAATCAATAAATTTAACACATTTGCACAATGGAATAGCCTACAAGAACAAGGAAATAAATGACAGCAATATGAATGTACTAATAGATAACATTAAGCAAAAGAAGCCATATACAAAGAGTAATGTAGGATAGTATGATTCCATTTATATAAAGTAAATGGGAAAAGCTAATTTTTACTGTTCAAAAGCAGAATAATGGTTATGAAGGATTTAAGAAGGTTTTGGGAAATGTCAGTAATGTTCTGCTTAATGATATGAATTCTGATTATATGGTTATGTTCAGCTTATAAAACATCATCAAGCTATGCTTCTATGATTTGTATACTTTTCCATGTATACACTGGTACTTCAATAAAGCTTTAGAAGTTTCAAAATGTTCTAAAAGTTCTATTCTAAATAACAAATTTAACATAACAGTCAAAAATTACAACAAGCAAAATGGCTTTTAAATCTTTGGAAAATCTAACACTAACAGTAATCTTTTTGGCCTATTTACGTACATACTTCTATCCAAGTACGTCATTTTTAAATAAATTCCCCAACAAGAAAATAACTTCTCTCTCATGACCTGATGTTGGTTAATAAGCACAGTCAATTATTTGTGCTTTGTGAAAAGACTAAATTCTAAACCCTCTTTTTAGGTTCTGATTCTATATGTTTTTGTTCTAAACATTTCAAAAAAGTAGTATTGAGTTTGCTGTGAGTTGGTAGAAATATACAAAAAGAAAATGAAAGAAACCTTTTCAAATTCTCACTGAGGCTCTGACATTATCTTAAAGACTTTCTTCCCACTAAGAAAGTCCATTAGAAATGAAATAACGAGGAAGGAATGGGAGTCTTTAAAGAGTGAAAATCTTAAACTACTAAGTGTCAGGAACAAATATAAAACTGCTCAGCAACTAACCTGATTAGAAACAGACTAATGACAGAAAATAGCGTGGTTTAATACCTCTTACAGTTAAAAAATAGTTCCCTAAAACAAATATGAGCTACAAATTAAGAATTTTGATTCCAATAATGAGAAAATGAGAGAAAAAAATAACATCTATTGTACAAATTATTAATTTATACTTCAGTTTTGATAAATATAATCCAGTGAAATATTGATGGTAACATAAATCAAGTCATCCTGACACACATAATCAAGTTTTGATTTTTTCTAAAGAATGATTAGGTGCTACACTTTTCAATCTAATAGTGATATTTTCTGTTCTCAACATTTGACATCAATATCTGTTATCAAAAATCAAACATAACCTTTTTGCCACACTAAAACTATAGCATCATTTTTAAAAAAATTGTCTTAAAAAAATAAGGAATAATTTCCCTAAATGGTCTTCCTACTGACCAAAAGATTTATATTGATACCTATATAGCATAACAAATACTAATGAAAAGTTTCAAAATTGTATTTTCAAAATTAAAAAGCAGCTTACAAAGAATAACTACAGTCCAGATCAAAATCAATCGGCAAGAGTTATGTAGTTGAGGAATTATCAAGAGATAACCTTTAACTTTAGAGAAATGTAAATCAACTTTTCTTACATTTACTATGCAAATATGCAATTAACATCTTCTCCCTGAGATGTCTAGAATGATGACAAATATTATAAAATAATGATTCTAATTCTTATGTGAATTAAATGGTTAGAGTGTACAACAGTGGCTTCTAAATTTTTTTTTAAATAAACATATTCTTAAAAAAATAAACGCTCTGCCAAAACTTGAACCCGTGATCAAATTTCTAAATCCAACTAACAATTTACAAGAAATATACAGGACAGAGAAACACATTAAATAACACCACAGGGATGCAATATGTAACATCTAGAATGAAGAAACCAAATAAAGCAACCTAATTTCTTCAATGAAGAAGCCACTAAGGGGGGATGGTGAAGGAGAGAGATTACAGATTGAAAGACTTAAAGAGATACATAAACTAATAGCATCATGTTGATTTCACGGTCTTAAAGAGTCACACAAACTGAGTTAAAAAATAAGAAGCTTATGATACAAGAATTTGAACACCAGATATTTGGCAACATGAAGAAATGTATTAATGACAAAAGTTAAGAATCCATTTTTAGGATGAATACTGAAATATTTATGGGATTTGTTTCAAAATGTGAGGAGAAGGAGAAATGTTCTCAACACCACTCTGCTAAGTAAGATATTTGCTCTAGACTTTCTACAGAAACCCAATCAGATTAAGGATATTCTTTTCTATGACTATTTAAATTTTTGTCATATATGGATGTTAGATTTATCAACCATATTTCAGACATTGACCTAGATGAGTTAATATAGTAAATCACATTATTAGATTTACTAATGTTAAACCAGCCATATATTATTGAAATAAGTCCAACTTGGTTATGGCAGATTAACCATTAATATTTTCTCAAAGTGACATGTAATTTTCTCTTACTTTCCTTGTAAGATAAAATATAAGTTGGATGTGTGGGGTTTTTTAACATATACTTTCAAGCAGCTTATGAGGAAACTGAACTTATATACATAATAAACATTAAGTTGTTAAAATAATGTGTAAAAATCAACTAGGCCTGGTGTTTTCCTGATGAAAAAATTTTAAACTACTGACTCAACTCTTCAGTGGTCATAGACCTAGTCAAGCTTACATGTCCAGTGTTTTCACAATGGTCTATAGAGTCCTATTCATATTCTCCTTTTTCTAACAGTCCTTTAACTCATGATCTCTTTGACCTCATGTCCTGCCATATGTCCCTTTGAGCATTCTACTCTGTAATTACTGCTTTTTGACCAGGAATACTACACAACTCCCATTTTCATATGTCTTGAGCCCTTACTTCTTTTAGGTCAAATGTCATCTTTTCAGAGTCCTCTCCTTGATAAACAATAACATATTTATAAATGTAAATATAAAATAGTATGCACCATTCCCAGCATCATGATTTTAGTTTCACTTTTTCTTTTAATACTTGTCTACTATGTTTAATAGCCGTATTAACTGAATTTGACCAAGAAGGGAAGAGTCAAAAGTTAAGTTCCACAGGAGCAGAGACTGTCAATTTTGTTCACCCATATAATCCCAATACCTGATATTTAGTGGATGCTCAAAAATGTTATTATAATAAATTAGGAATTTATTCTCACAGTACTCTAAGGATCACAATTCTCACAGTACTCTAAGGATCCATTCAGGGAATCTGCAAGATCTCACATACACAGAGCAGAATTGTCCAAAAGCTAGCGACAAGCCATATCACAAAAGATTAAATGCAGAAACAGATTATGTAAATACAGTTGCCCTCTATCAAGCAAGACATTCAGGATATTTGCAAGAATGTAAAAGAAGAGCATTCTCACTATTTATTCAGAAAATGGTTATTTTTCACAAAATGTTATATGTTCTAATAGGTTTATTATTCCAATTTTAAAATAATAGATGGTACTATATTTTATTTTAACTTCAGATACAATAAATGTAAATGGGCAAAACCCACATTAACAAAAGTTCCTTAGGGTCCCAAAAAGAATAAAGGGGTCCTCAGACTAAAATGTTTGAGAACTGGTCAATCCCTTACTAGATTTAATTTCATATAAATTCATTAAATCCAGAATCAAACCCAAAAAAAGTCTATTAACATCTTAACTAATTTGAGAAAAAAAATGTATGGGGGCAGGGCTGAAGCTGAGGCTGAGGCTCAGCAGTAGTGCACTTGCCTAGCATGTAAGGTACTGAGTTCGATTCTCAGCACCACATATAAATAAATAAGAATAAAGGTCTATTAACAACTAAAAAAACTTTTTAAATGTGTGAGGAAGGTTAAGGGAGGGGAAAAAAAAAAAACAGTTTTACAGAAAGAACAAAACTTATATTCAGAAGGCTTGCGTTCAAATCTTGGCTATATTGCTATACTAGATGTTTCCCTGAATAAGTCTCTGAATCCCTTTTAGCACCAATCACACTGTTGATAAAACAGGCATACTGTCTACTGTCCTTTCCTACGTACTTCTCAAGGTTGTTAGGAAGACCAAATAAGATAGTGAATATGAATGCTATCAACTTACAGCACTAAGTAAATACAAACATTATAATTATGGCTATTGTTTAATTTTACCTCTGTGGCAGACAGACGGACACTTATGGTTTCTACATCCTAAAGTCCGTCCACAATTTTGATCACAAGGTGGACAGTTTCCAGGGCAACACTAAAGAGAAAGCAATATATTGAGAATAGATAATTTGAAAATCCATGCATAATATGAATGTCATTACTAGTTATTTACAGAACTTACAGAAAGCAAAGATATTTCTCTTCATTCTTGACATTCCATTCACTCTTGAATGAAAATATTCAAGAGTATCAACATTCCTCTGGTAAGTAGATATACTGCTAAGAATTTACAAGTTTGAACAGATAATGACCTACTCTAATAATATCAAGCTGAATTTTCTTGCCCTTCAGTTAATTTTTCTATGATTTAAAATACTTTCATCAGATTTCATTTACTTTTCTATACAAATACTGACAACATTACCTACTTAGATGCCAGTCAATTTGGGCAACTAGTTTTTAATATTTTTTAATATTCATTAAAATAAAACTTGTATAGATCAGTTCGGCAATTATTTCCAAACCATGAGATCAGAAACCAACTAATGAAAAGAAGTAGATAGGCTATCATTCTTTGTGATTTCTAATTTGTGAGAAATATAGCTACCACCTGTCCTAATTTTCATTCACAAAGAGTAGGCAACTACTTAACATCTACCTTGCCTTTCTAACCTCTCCCTTGACTTTTCACATACTCAAACTTTGGAAAGAAAACACATATTACAAGAGTATTAAAGATATTTAGGATTATAACTCATAAAAGAACAAGTTTCAAAAGCATATAAAAAATAGCTCCAAACAATATACCTTACTGAAAAGCAATTAAAAGTCAAAATTGAGCATTCAATTAGATAGTATATACTGAATAATGCTATGTACCTATCACTTTCCAAGTGGCAATAGTATTCTCTGACTTGAATAAGCCTACTGACACTTTAATTCCAAACATGACAGAGTAACATTCATCAGATTTTCCCTCCACCTCAAACAACTAGAAAAATCAGACAAAAGATATGAAGTCACAGTTTTTTGACATTAATCATGCAGCATAGAACAGCAAAGGGAAACAAACAAGGTGAGTCCTACAATTACAACATCTCTTGACTTGAAGGTCTCTAAGCTGTTATACAAAAAGGAAGATCACAAGCAAAACCTGGTAGATTCACCACGTTAAACAAAAAAATAAAACAAAAAATATCATAATTCAAGGAGGCCAGTGGGGCTAGAATTTGTGGTGAGGAGGTAAGTGTACAGAGAAAGTTCTGGAAAAATCCAGAAGGGGCCGCTGAATCTTTGCCTGAATAGTGACGTATACAGGTGTGAGAAGACTCTACCCAAAACCTGCAAAAAAAACACTGGAAGGAAAGGAAAACAATTTCCAGAGGTTGCACAGGGCTAGGAATAGTTTGTGTTCCTATGGCCAGAGACGGAGTATCTCCCAATACACAGGCACTGTGTGTGATATTTAAGAAGAGTTATTGCCTCAGTAGTGGGGCCAAATTAGCCCTATACAAAGGAATGCTCTAGTCACATCTAACTCTATCAGGTCTAAAAAAGATCAAGAGGTTTCTAAGGAACTTAACTTTGTCCTGGAATAAATATTATAAATACTTAAAGGAATGTTAAAAAAAAAAAAAAAAAAAAAACCTCAGCACCCAAAAAAAATGTAAAGTTTGCAACATTTAAAAAACAATTTTAAAAATCCTCAAGCAGGCCAACATTAGCAGGAACATATAACCCAAGAGACACAGGAAGGAAAAAAAAATTGACCCAGAAATGAGAATTGATAACAATTAGTAGACAAAGACAACAAAGTAGGTATTATTTATTTATTTTGTGTGTGTGTGTATGTGTTTTCATACATGTAGGGTAATGATGTCCATCTCATTCTGTCTTTCCTACCCCCATACTAAAGTAGGTATTATTGATATAGTCTAGCCATATATTAAAGAAGATAAAGAAAAATGTTAGCATGCAAAGCAGCATAGGAGATATAAAAAAGACCCAAGCTCAACCTCTAGAGATGAAAATACACGTCTGAAAAGAAAAAACACAGGATGAATAAAAAGCAGATTAAATAACACAGAAGAAAATGGTGAATGTAAAGGCAAAACTACATAAACTATATAAAATAAAATATAGATGTTAAAAAAGGCTAACAAATAATTACAGCATTAGTGAGCTGTGGTACTACATGTAACAGATAAATCATCAAAGTGTCTGAAAGGGGTAGAAAAAGGGAAACAGAAAAAATATCTGATAAAGATCAAAAATTTGAGGAAAACTATACGTGTATGAATCCAAGCTCCTCAAAGAAAATAAGGGTGAAGAAATACAAAACATTATGCTAAAGAAAAAATCCTAAACAAACAAACCAGAGAGACAGAGAGAAATACATTATGTAAAGAGGAATAAAGGTAAGAATCACAGCTCCTTGTAGGAAAAAATATGTAAACTAGAAGACAGTAAAGTACCATCTTTTAAGTATGGGCAGAACAAAATGTCAAACTAGAATTCGCAAAGGCAAAAAAAGACACTTTCAGACATACAAAGTTGAAAATATTCATTACCAGCACCAAAAGAAATGTTAAAGGAAATCCTTTAGATAGAAAGAAATGAAACCAGATGGAAACTTGAATCTACACACACAAAAAAGTACCAAAAATAGATTAAAAAATCTTATTTTTTTCAAACCCTTTTAAAGCAAAAATGAAAACAATATATTGGGGCATTATAAAACACATGAGTAGAAAAAATTGTAAGAATCATACACTTTAAGTCAGGAAAAGTGTCATAAAACACACTATTGTAAAGGTCTTAAAGAATATAAGGCCAAAAGCAACACTTCGAAGAAAGAAAACTAGTTATAGCTAATAAAAACAGTAGATAAAAATGGAATCACTAAAAAATAACATTCAATCAAAAAAGAAGACAAAAAAAAGGGAAAGGAATGAATGGGAAAATAGAAAATAAACAGCAAAATAGAAGATTAATTTATTTAACTTTTTTTTTTGTGATTCCGGGCATCGAACCCAGGCCCTTGGCCTTGCTAAGGCAAGTGCTCTACCAGAGTTACAAGATTCAAATCCAACAATAACAAAAAGATCATATTAAATGTAAATGGTTTATATCAAAATCAAATGACAAAGAGTGTTACCTTGGATAAAATAAAATCCAAAAGAAATACACTTTAAGAGAATGAAAAAATCTGTACTATGCTAACACTAAGAAAAACAACGCTGAAATCATCATTATATTTCAAACAATTTAAGAATAAGGGGCTGCAGATACAGCTTAGTTGGCAGAATGCTTTCCTCGCATGCCCAAGGACCTGGGTTCAATCCCTAGCACCACCAAAAAAAAAAAAATTATCTGGATTCAATCCCCAGCACCACACACATACACACCAAAAAACAAAACAAAACAAAACAAAAAAACCAAGGATAAGGAAACTTACCAGAGATAAAAAAAGATATTTCATAATGAAAAAAGGAATCCAGACTCAAGAAGATTTGAACCATAGAAGTTAGGTCTCTACCACCAAATCAACTATCACTTTAACACTGCTAATGATATTTTAAAGTTAGGGAACAGAAAGAACCTATGAACCAAACTGAGAGGACTGTGGTACAAGACAAAAAAGACTCTTTTAAAAAATTGACAGCTTTCTCATTTAAAAAAACAACTAAAATTAACTTAGAATATTTATTAATATTTTATACAGAAAACAGTATGTCTGAACATTTAAGGAACAAGTCAGGAAGACTGTTTATCATGGCCCCAAAAAGGAAGAATTCAAGACAATTTTTAATCAGTTTTCCAAACTTATTAAACATACCTTTCTCCTACACTGATGCTTCTGACAGTCTCGCATCTTGACACATTTAGTTTCACATATATAAGGTTTATGGCAGGGCATTCGTTTTGTATGCTTTCCACAACGACAATGTTTTTCCACTTCCTGGAACAAAGACATGGTATTAAAACTGACTTTTGTTAATATCCTTTTTTTCCCACATTACAATTTCCATAATTACTAAAACATGGATAAAAATCTTAAATAACAAATGTATATGCAAGACTTTACCCAAACCAAAGTTGTCTCTCCCAAAATATCTGTTTATCTCATTCTGTTCCAAAAACAACTTCTTAAGAATTCATTAAATTTAGTAGAAATGATAATAAATATTTAAAAATATGCCACACATTAAAACCACTTATATCTAGCTATAACCATAACATCTACACATCTTTTCTCAGTAGAGCAAGAAAACTGAACTACCTAGTCAGCTAACCTGTTGGCCTGGTAGTAAGGCCAACAAAATGATATATATAGTTAAGACTTAAATCTAGGCATTAATTTTTTTCCATCATCACTAGGCCTAATTCATCACTGCTTCAACTATCTTCTGAGAACAAATAAACTCACATTGGAATATAAAATAAGAACTTTTATAACACAAAAACAAAAGGCAATTTTTAGATTTGATTGCTAGCATACTCTCATTTCTTACTATAAATATTAGGACATTAAACTCATATACATCACTACATAGGTGTATATGAAAGTAAATAATGGAAAAGAATCACAGACAATCTCATTTGACATATTATGATATGTTGCTCCAAAAGGAATTATTACAGGACATAACTAACTTGTCTACATGTTTCGCAAGAACCTCGATGACAACGCTGTGAACATCTGTGGATTCCACATTCCAGGACTTTGTCACAACTATCTCCACAAGTTGGTACATCTTCTGTACAAGGCAAAGAAAACTCTAAAAGCAGACAAAAATGTCAAGGTTAATATGATACATTGCTATTAAGCACTAACAAAGTGCTCTAAAGAATAATATAGCTTTTTCAGATTATGAATTTTTCATCCATATAGTTATTGGGAAAAAACTGCCTTTAATGAAAATAACTCATAGAATTTTAAGGCTTATTTTTTTAAAAAGAAATTTAAAATTGATCTTGTTTTGCTCATGGCATCTACATCCTCAATTTTTCCAAAAAAAATAAAATAAAATACAAAATAAGAAATTTGATACATGACAATTCTTGTATGTGCTAACTACTTCAGATATGGTTACCTAATGAAATGAGTAAAACTACAAAGAACTTTTATGAGGAACTTTCATAATACAAAGAAATTGTTTTTTTAATTTGCTCTTAACCTCACAGGATTACTCCAATCGGCATGGCAGGCATCAAAAATACAGATGCTGGGCTGGGGATGTGGCTCAGCGGTAGAGTGCTTGCCTGGCACATGGAAGACCCTGGGTTCGATCATCAGCACCACATATAAATAAAATAAAGGTATTAAAAAAAATACAGATGTTGATAAGGATATGGGGCAAAAGGAACCTTCACACACTATTAGAAGGAATGTAAATTAGTATAGCCTCTATGAAAATCAGTATGGGGGTTCCTCAAAACAATAAAAATGGACCTACCATATGATTCAGTTACACAACTCCTCTACATTTATCGAAAAAATGTAAAACCACCACACTGTAGAGATACACACATTACTATATTTATAGCAACATAATCACCAGAGCCAAGTTATGGAACCAGAGTAGATATCCATCAACAGAAGAATGTATAAAGAAAATGTGGTATGTATAAACAATGAAGGTTTTTGTTTTTGTTTTTTTATATTTTTTAGTTGTAGATGAACACAATACCTTTATTTATGTATTTATTTTTATGTGGTGCTGAGGATCAAACCCAGGGCCTCACATGTGCTAGGCAAATGCTCTAGCACTGAGCTACACTCCCAGCCTAACAATGAAGTTTTATTCATCCATTAAAAAGATGCAATTATGCCATTTTCAAGAAAACAGACAGAACTAGATAGCATCATAAGTGAAATAATCCAGACTCAAAATATATAAAGACATAAATATATGTTATGTTTTCTATCACATGTGAAAGTTAGAGGAAAAAAGTCGGGGGGATCCCATGGGAAAAAAAAAGGGGGAGCTGGGGATGGTGATGCACACTATAATCCCAGTGGCTCAGGAGGCTGGAACAGGAAGATTGCAAATTTACAGCCAGCCTCGGCAACTCAGCAAGGCCCCAAGCAACTCAGGGAGACCCTGTCTTTAAATGAAATATAAAAAGGGTTGGAGATGTGGCTCAGTGGTTAAGCATTCCTGGGTTCAATCCCCAGTACCAAACAAGCAAATAGAAGGTAAATCATTATGGTAAAAGAAGGGAAAAGAGGGAAGTGAGGAGGGAAAGGCAAGGGGAGGTAGTGGGGAATAAAACTGATCAAATTATGTTACATACATGTACAAATATGCCACAATGAAACCCACTGTTCTGTATAATTAACATGCACCAATAAAACATTTTCTTAAAAAAAAAGTCCTACTTGATTTCTGACATGGACAGAACCTTTTCCCAGATCGAGGACATTCTCCACAAGCACCAACATGGCAAACTTGCTCACATGTATGATTACCACATGGCAGTGTTTTTCCACATACCTAAAATAAGCAAAAGTGAAGGATTTAAAAGTCAACAACTTTGTACAAAACGTGATTCACTTTTAATAATAAATAAACTACTTCTTCATGTCCCTTACATCAAACTTTGTGTTCAACACAGGTGTCATACATACACGTGTGTGTGTGTATGTATGTGTGTGTATATATATCCATGTATACACATATTTATTTCCTATACACCAAAGAGGAGTATATAATAAATTAAAAAATACATATGGCTTCATATAGCTATCCATCAAAGATTTCCAAACAGTACTACAATCATGTCAATTCTTGGATGAGCAATCTACAAATTCAATCCTACTTCCTTAAAGGGAATAACAAGAAGCAGGAAGTATTGGCTGAAGATAAGGGAAAGAGAGGAAGGGGAGGGTAAGCTTACAAGTAAGAGAGTAAAACTACTGAATTCAGAATTCAATAAAAAGCTGTTATTAAAAAAAAAAATTCTCCAGTAATTAAATTATATTAATTGAAAACTAGCTTCCTAAATCATGATGCAGTTCATCTGAGTTGCTACTCTTTATTATCCTTTATTCAACTAAATCAAATTAGAATTTTTGCTTTCTAGTTTATGCTTTTTGTATTCTTTAATATCCACCCCCTCAAAATGTACATAAACTTACTTGATCACAGTGCCACAGTGGACTCGCACAGCTTCTTTCAGCTACTTTTTTGCCACAGACACATTTTTGTCTACTAACCCTTGGACAGGGTTGACAACTTCCTAAAACCAGAATGATCAATTAGCTTACAAACAATTTAAAAGCAACAAAGATTGCTTTGATTTTTGCGTAAAGTCAGAATACGTAACAGGTATGTGCTTTACCTGCATGACAAGGATTTTCACATTTATGTTGCCCACAAAGCAACTTGCGTCCACATGGTAGCTGACAGGACCATTCCTTGGTGCTGCACCTACGAGGGATAGGCTTTGCTTTCTTACAGTAACAAGTTGTTGTAACCATCTTTGGACAAGGAGGACAGGGACCTAGAATCCAAAGAAAGTAGGGAAAAAAAAAAATCATAACTTGAAAATTAAAACTTTCAATTTCTATATCTTTTAGTAATTTCTAGAACTTTTATCAACAGTTTAAAAAGGCATTACCTTCCAATATGTTAAGTTCTCAAGTAAACTTTCACTTTTTTTTTTTTTTTGGCCTCAACGTAATAACCACTCAGAGACAACTAAAAATATAATATGGAACTCACCTGGATGACAGAGAAGTAAACACTTATGACCACAAGAAGGTTTAAATTCTCTCTCACATACTTGGCCACATGAATGAGGCACAAGCCACGGATCTAAAGGTGGATCTTCTACTTTTCCACAATAGCAATAGTACCTACTAGGCGTTTCTGACCTTTTGTATTCAAACCTACATTTTGGACTACAAAAAAGAATAAAATAATTAAAATTTATTTCATCTTAAACATAAGAGATAGGAATATAAACATATTTAGTAATAGATGATACTATTCAATTAGTTTTAGGTTAAGGAACCTTATTAAGCTCTGTTTTTATATTAGTAAAAAAAAAAAAAAAAAAAAAAACTCTTACTAAAATCTATTTAACCATCTAGCACAGCTCTGTACAATGATTTCCTGAGACGACAGAACTGTCTTAGACCTGTACCAATACAGTAGCAACTAGCCACATATGGCACTTGAGATTTGGCTAATACATACAATTGAGGAAGAATCAGAATTTCTTTATCTTTTAATTTTTTTTAATTTAAATATTAACCTGTGGCTAGTTGCTATGTATTAAACATATATATCCAGAATATAGTTTCAAAAAGAAAGCAATATTAGCTTCCTTTTAACCACTTAAACTTTATTCTTGAGGTAATCACTCAGATTTTTTTTTTTTTTTTTTTTGGCGGGGTGGGGGGTGGTGGGATACTGGGACCTGAACTCAGGGACACTCAAACCACTGATCCACATCCCCAACCCTATTTCGTATTTTATTTAGAGACAGGGTCTCACTGAGTTGTTTCGTGCCTGGCAGAGGCTGAGGCTGGCTTTCAACTTGTGATCCTCCCATCTCAGCCTCCTAAACTGCTAGGATACACCTGGCTGGGGTATTACCAAGGTTCCATATATTCATAAACCAAATGGCTGAAGGCCAAACATGGACACTGAAACTGCCAATAAATCAACAAATGATGTACAATTTTCATTTACAACTTCAAATCCAACTAATTAGAAAAAGTTACCAAGGCCAAGGATAATCTTTCTTGCCAAAATCATCATCTGTCAAAGAAGATACAAGAAACTGGCTGTCTTTAGCCCACTTTTGGATACAGGGCATGTGAAATATACAGAAACATCCTGAACAGCTCCAAACCTAAGACAAAAGTGTTGGAAATTAAGTTAATTATTAATTCCATAATACTTTAAAAAGAGTATCACACTAAATTAATAGAAATGTCCTTAATAAAACTGTACTTATGTATAGAACAATGTAAAGAAAAATATTATTAACCACCCAGATTCAATTACCTAGAAATAACTATAGCTAACATTCTAGATAATATCGAATCATGTGTACCTGTACAAATGTGTATGTGTATTATCCTTAAAAACAAAGTCATACTGGTATTAACTCATGTAATTTTTATAGTCTTTTTTAAACACAGTCTAAGCATTTACACTTATCAAAAATGTTTAAACAACATGAAATTCAAAGTTTTACAGTTATGTCCCATAGATTCATGTACCATAATTTATTTAACCAAATTCTTGTTCTTGGACTTTTAGGTTATTTCCAATTATAAATATTATTATAATGAAATCCTAAAACTACATATGTATAATATATATGGCTTTTTTTAATATAAAACGTATTAGTCTAGCACTTAACAGCTAAATTCTAAAATTAAGTGAATAAAAACTGAGAATATATATAATGAGAGGCTTAAGAAATAATACTGAATTAATTTTTACAGCAGACAACACTGATATATATGAAAAAAACCACTTCCCCTTTCCTTATAACATTTTACAACTGTTAAAATAAGCAGACACATAGCATATGGCATAAGCTGGCAACAGCATTACAAAAATCCAACTTCTTAGTTTGGGTTTCCCCTAAGCAGTCATTAAGATCTTAAGACGCAGGAGTCAGTGAACAAGATTGGAAAGAAATGCCAATAAATAGTATATTATTGAGCTGATTACTACTAACGGCCACAGCAGCTCAATACCGTAGAGAGCCCTCTGAAGAATCATGTAAGAAACCCCATGGACGATCCCAGCCCCATCCCTAATAAACAGAAGGTTGAGACATCAGTCTACCAATTCCCTGTGATGGAATGCTGCCTTACAGTTCATTAACTGACTGAATTAGTTTCCAAAGAGAATAGCTTGAGATGGGGGAAACAAAACAACCCACACACTGAGCAAGTGTTTAAAGAAAGAACTATGTCCACATGTCCACAGTGTCCACCACAGCTCTAAAGTAGAACTGTGTCCACTCATCCACCACAGCTACAGAGGACATCCAAATGACTGAATACCAAAGGCACTATATCTGCTACAAAGTGCCAACCATCCTGAACATGTTCAGTTTCTGACTCATTCTGCCTGACCAATCCCATTTCATCATGCCTGATTATCTTTCCCTAGGTAATGTAGCTCTAATAAGCAGTAAACTAATACCAGGTATAAAAGCTGAGTCTATTATATTCAGTTGTCACTTCTCTTTAATTGCTTCATTAATACCCTTATAGATTTATATTTAGATAATTCTTCATTAGGCCACAGCTTCTCTAAGGACATGAGTTATGTTTGAATCTTCTCTCCTCAATGACCTCTGTTACTTTAATAAATCATATGTGTTTTATTACATTACTTTTCTTTTATCAAACCCACTGAAAGAAATGTAATACAGCACATTTTAACACTTCATATTTGTGGTACACTATGAAGTATACATACTAAAAATGATTTCGCTAATCAACATATGCAATAAAACTGATACTACAAATATTAAAAGTGCTAAAAATAATGAAAGCTCATTTTGAGGCAATTTTTTAAAATTTCATACTTATAAAATGAAGATCAATTTATATACAAAATTCTTAAATGAATCAAGTTTAAATGAATATAAACAAAAAATATTCAGGAAAGACATTAATATGAGCAAGGAGAACAACTTACTGCTTGGTTTCTCTTCACTGAAGCAATACAAATTAAACATGTCATAGCTCCTGCTTGAAAAGCTTCATTTACATACTGTTTTGTTCGCTCTAATTCACGTATATCTCCATCTTGAAATTTAAAAATTGAAAATTTCATGTTAAGCAACATCTGAAAATAACAAACTCACTCTTAGTGTCACATCATGAGCAATATTAATTGCTCAAAATATTGCTAAAAAATGCAAAGTTTTAAATTAAAAAAAAAAAAAGATCCTTTGTCAAGAGTTTACAAGATCCATTAATTAAATCCATATACTTGATTCAAAAACAGTATCTTAGCTCTGTGTATATTCTTTTTTTTTTTTTTTTTTTTTGCATTAAAGTCCTTAACAAATTAGTTGGGTGCAGAACCACAGATGTGAGCATCAAGATATAAAGTAATAACAGAAAGCTTAAAAAAAAAAAAAGTGAGAAAATGAAAAGCCAAAACTCTTTAGGACCATTTACGATGAATGGGCATGTGTGTATGTGTGTGTGTGTTTAGCACATAGCACACTCTTAATAAAAATTCACTGAACAAAAGTCCCTGACTGAGGTCATTACAATAACCATGCTTCATTAAATTATGTTCACTATTTGTGCTAAAAAAAGAAAAAGTAGCACAAGCTTAAAAAAATTAACTAAAACTGTATTTTAAGCAGTCATTGAGCATTTATTTGCTACATACTAGACTACTATTATTTCCATAGGAGTAAAATGAACTGTTATTATCTTCATTTTACAGAAGAGAAATATGAGATACAAAATAATTAAGTACTTTAGCTTAACTAAAAATGAGTCCCCTTAACCTCTATGCTGTGCTGCAATGAGGGTTAGGGCAATCAGGTCCAAGAAACAATAAGTAACAGCAAAATGAAAAATAAAACAAGTACCTTAAAGGACAAACAACACTTAAAGGGGCAGTAAATTCAGCAACTTTAGTCTAAGAAAAATAAGCCTACATGCCCTTAGTACAATAAAAAAATTGTTCAATACAGGTTGACTGAGTCTCCAAGAAAGTAGACTAATACTATAAACTAACAAAAGTACAGAACTTACCAAGGCAATAACCTGGTTCAAACCAAAATTTAAGTTGTCATAAAGAAAAATTGAATAAATAAGACACCTGGTTAATTCTTTACATCCTAAAATCATTAAAGTAAATACAGCACTTAACAAAAATTTACCTTATCACAATGTAAACATAAATGCAATTTAGGCTATTAAAGAAAAGCATGGAAAAGCACTCCTAAAACTGTGAAATTATTAAACAATTGCTTTATTTCAAATAAACAGTGAAGTTTCAAAAATATCTTTAAAAGCAAAATGACTGTTAAATATGCTTATATCACTTTTCAACACAACTGGTTTTTAAAAAAAAAAAAAAGCTTAATATTTTAAATTTTATTTAATATAACAGTTAGGGCTGGGGATGTGGCTCAAGCTGTAGCGCGCTCGCCTGGCATGCGTGCAGCCCGGGTTCGATCCTCAGCACCACATACAAAACAAAGATGTTGTGTCCGACGATAACTAAAAAATAAATATTAAAAAAAAAATAATAATAATAATATAACAGTTAATTCACATAATTTAGAATTTAAGAACAAGATGGAAAAGGTTTTGAAAAAGTAAAGTATAATCCAGGTGCGGTAGCGCACACCTGTAACCCCAGGGGCTCAGGAGGCAGAAGAGGAGGATCCAAAGTTCAAAGGCAGCCTCAGCAACGGCAAGGCACCAAGCAACTCAGTGAGACCCTGTCTCTAAATAAAACACAAAAAATAGGGCTGGGGATATGGCTCAGTGGTTGAATGCTCCTGAGTTCAATCCCTGGTACCTCTCCCCAAAAAATAAATAAATAAAGTATAAATTTTTCCTCACAAAATTTATGTAAGACTTCTTTGAAGCTTTGATTAAAGTTTGGTTGTGGCAATAAAGTATACTGTCACTATGAACAGCATGGCATGCCTTTTAAAAAGATCACTCTGGCAACTTAAAAAAAAAGTAAACATGAAGAGGCCAAGATAAGCAGCAGAAGGTAATAAGAAGTTAGGGGCAGATAAAGCAAAAAATGACCATTAGCCGGTGTGGTGGTGGCGCACACCTGTAATACCAGCAGCTCTGAGAGCCGAGACAGGAAGATCACAGGTTCAAAGCCAGCCTCAGCAATGGCAAGGCACTAAGCAACTCAGTGAGACCCTGTCTCTAAATAAAATACAAAAGAGGGATGTGGCTCAGTGGTTGACTGCCCCTAAATTCAATCCCTAGTAACAAGCCCCACCCCACCCCCCCCAAAAAAAAACTGGAGATTTTGCTGAGGCTGGCTTTAAACTCATGATCCTCCTGTCTCAGCCTCCTGAGCCGCTGGGATTACAGGCATGTGCCACCATGCCCTACTCCTGTCTCCATTTTCATATGCATCAAATAGTATTAAGTTATCCCACAGTTATTACATAGATTTCATCCAAATTGAACAGCTATGAAAACGTGAATTAGGCAATGACAGTATGTAGGGAGAGCATGCATAGATTTATGAGATTTAGGAAGTAGAACTTAAGCATCTTGGGTGACAATTAGATTGGTACTTCAAAAGGTAATGGTAATATCAAGATTCACAAGAGGAGACTTGTGATAAGTTGTCTGACATGGCAGAAAGAAACACTAGGAAATGACAATACTCATGCCATCCTAGCTCCCATATTGGGTGGGCAGGTCACTGGGACAACTGTAGAGGTACTGAGAAAAACACTAACAAAAGAAGAATTAAGTCATCTTTCAACAAATGTATGATTTATCCATGGGTTAAGCCAGATAGAGAGAGTCATCAGGAAATGGGCCATACAAGTGTGAAAGTTCAGAGAAGAATCACGAAAGTGGGAGGGATGTGCTCAAATACAAACTCCTTGGGTAAAGTCCTAGTATTCAATTCACTAATGTGAGGTGGAAACCCTCTCATTACTCTGGCATTCACTGTTCATAAATCTAGCAATCAGATCTCCTTACTTTGATAAATGCAAAGTACAGAATATATATAGGAATGACAATAAAATATTAATGGATTTGATACAAAAAAAATTACCTTAAAACTTTGTTCATGAAGCAAAGCCAAGATTTAAACCTTGGCAGCTTGGCTTGAGAGTCAATGTTCTTAACTACTGTATGATGCCATTTTTTTTCCCCATGAATAAGTACAAGAGCAGCAGTCTAAACTACCTCATAATTTCTCCTGCTTTTACACAGAAGATACAACTTAGTAGTGGCTCAAAAAGTTAGGTTTAAACCCAATTCTGTCATTTTCTGTGTGACTATAGGAGTTTCTCCTCCTGTGCAGAGCTGTTTCCTAGAAAATTTCCACACTTTCTTGTAGTTCTAACAGGGTCCTAAAGTGAGATAAGTATATGAACAATATATTTCTACAAAAATAGTGATAAATGTTGATAATACATGCAAGAATGTTACTAATAACTTTAAGTATAAACATGAAAGATTTAAGAATATTCATATTTACCTTAAAAATAATCTATTTTTTTTAATATTTATTTTTTAGTTGTAGTTGGACACAATACTTTTTATTTTTTTTTAGAGAGAGAGAGAGAATTTTTTTTTTAATATTTATTTTTTTTAGTTTTCGGCGGACACAACATCTTTGTTTGTATGTGGTGCTGAGGATCGAACCCGGGCCACACGCATGCCAGGTGAGCGCGTTACCGCTTGAGCCACATCCCCAGCCCCACAATATTTTATTGTACTTATTTATTTTTATGTGGTGCTGAGGGCTCAAACCCAGGGCCTCGAACGTGCTAGATGAGCACTCTACCACTGAGCCACAACCCCAGCCCCAAAATAATCTATTTTTATAACTTAATACTAAGTCATGCACAGTAGCATTACTTTGGCCCTTTCACACAAACAAATGTGGCTGTAAGAGCAACCCAGTTATATACAACAGGTTAACATGAATATACATGTCAGACCTGAAGAGATTCAGCTTAGAAATAAGAAAAAAATATGAAGATCAAATGTGAATAAGATATAAATTAAAGTAATAAGTTAAATTAATCTCAAGACACTTTTAACATGATAAAAATGAAAAATAAGTTGAAAAAATATCTGAAGTCTTCTAGTTCAATCAAATCACAACAGGACAACTTGCCCTAGCCATTTCTCAGAGAACTGACAGCCCCCCCCCCCCCCCGCCATCATTCTACTGAAATGCCAATTAAAATCACAAGAGATACAAAAGGGCTGTGAAAGAACCATCCCCATGCTATTTGTTTTATAAAAAGATTAAATAACTTATAACTCAAATAGTAAAATGTACAAATATTCAACTTCACAACACAACATGCTCATTCTTGAAATGCAAAAAAAAATTCCATGTAGTATGAAAAAGTGTTACCAAAAAAAGGAATATATTTTCAATGATGTCAAAAAAGTCAAAATATAAAAGATCAATACCTGTCTGAGTAGTATATGTTACAAATGTATTGGCAACTATTTTCCCCTGTTTTCCTTCAAAATCTTCATCTCCTTCTTCTTCAGATGAAGAGCTAAAGTGTTCTTCAATTAGTTTTTTGGCTGCAGCTTGATTAGCTTTCTTGATTTCCTCAAATTTCTGCTGAGACATTAGCTCTGTTAAAAAAGGAAAAAAAATAAATGGTTTCATTTCTGCAAAACAATCTCCTCAAAAAGCAAGACACGATGTGCTAATAATATATTATTTTTAAACATGCATTTGAAAGTAGCCTTTGGAACATTCTATCTTACTAAAAATTCATAAGAAAAAGTATTTTCAAATTTCTTGACACACAGTTAAAGAAAATATCACAACAAAAATTTTCATCTTTATAAGTCCCACTAAAAGCAGTGAATTGTTACAGAAATGAATAACAAATCAAGAAAAAGAAATTATGAAGATAAAAATATCAAAACCAGATCAACCTCAAAAAAAAATTATTAAAAAGTCTGGGAATATAGCTCAGTAGTGGAGTACCCGCCTAGCATGTATGAGGCCCTGAGTTCAATCCCCAGTACCACCAAAGCAAACACATAAACAAATACTAACAAAATTTAAATGGCACATTTTTAAAATACACTACACAGTTATTTTTAAACAGTGAGGGAACATGCTCACTGGAAGCATGTCAGAATCTGGGGAAGCAGGTACTTCTTTAAACTACCCTATTTTCAACCACAGCCCAACCCAACCCACCAGTCTGCATAGACAGTATTCATTGTGTATCTATTATATTAAATATAACCTGCTTCTTAGAAAGCTCAAGAACTTTGGCCTTCCATGTAGTCTTTTGACATTTTTGTGGTCACAAAAATAAGTACATTTAACATTAACCCACACAAAATATTGCTTTCATAGAAAATATACTTTTTTACAAGTTCACTTCAAAAAGAATGTAAAGTTAGTTAGTTCTTCCACTTGATTTCCTTTAGCACTGTTTGTAGTTCTCATTTTGTCACTTGATTAAATAAGAGTTGAAAAGAGAATTAGATAATTCCATGGCACATATTCTCAATAGACTTCAAAGTTTTTAAAAAATAAGGATCATGGGAATTTTCTTCGGTTAGTAAGTTCTATGAACAGTAATCATAGATTAAGAAAGGAACCACAAACAATTGAATTCACCTGAATTCAATAGTGCACTTATTGGAAGGATTTTAAATTTGCTAATTAGAAACTAATGAACTACTATGAGAAAAGCTCTCTTATTTTAGGTAGCATATTAGTATTTAGTGAAGTTTTATCTTTTATTTCTCTCATAAAATGTTTCCTTTTTCTTATTACAGCCACTTTTGTGATTATCGACCAAAACTGTTATTTCAAGTAAAACTAGAAGAAAATAAAATGTAAAATGTATAGTGTTTACCTGGGTATTGTTGAGTACTGCGAAAAAAATAATGGCTATAAGATATTTGACTCAAAAATCTGTACAATAAGAGAGGTGATAAATGCCAATAATCTATGGGAAATGCACTTAAAAGACACTTAAGGTGGGGAGGCTGAGATGTACAGAGACAATGAAAACATTTATAACCTGATATATATGTATTTACTTGACATCTCAAGCTACAGAGAAGTTGACAAAACAACTTTTATTTCTTACACTCAAATCTCAATTACCCTGACAGAGTACACTTGCTTTCCTTCTACTCACAAAATCCAAGAAAGTTTACCGAAATTGTTCATGGGTCTCCAAAACACTAGTATTGCTGTATGTATATACGTAACTGTATAACCAATGTGATTCTGCAACCTGTACACTCAGAAAAATGAGAAATTATACCCCATTTGATTCAAATGTATGACGTCAAGATCATTGTACTGTCATGTGTAACTAATATAAATAAGTAAATAAACTCAGTAGCTGCAAACCATGTGAACAACCCGACTTTAAAATCCTAGAAGAAAACCCATTCAGAAGCTCAAATTTGCTCCCTACCCCCCCCCCCAAAAAAAAAGGTATTCTGAAACAAACACATTCCAAACACACACACACACACACACAGAGACACAAATCAGTGAATATTCTCTCAGTCCCACCTACAACTTTGTGTAAATGCTCTCAGACTACACTAAAACACAGTCTGGAATGAAGGGTATTAACAAAATCAAGAAGGCAACACAGATATATCCGTGAAAGGACGTGAAATTTCTGAACAGGAACCACAGTTAGGAAAGGACCACTTGCTCAAAAGCTCATTGTAGTGCTTAAGAAGCCAGTCAAAAAAGAAAGAAAATCTGGCAAAGAAGAGATAACGTAAGGTGCAGTGTCTGCTCCCAATCTAAATTGGATTTCTGCAATCTCAGCCCAGATGACTGTTGCCATGCCCAAAGATACTAAAGCCACAATACTTTATTAAAAAAAAAAAAAATTAAGTGGTTAGCAGATTTTTATGAGATGGCACAATTTACAGGGATTCGGGCAAGCAAAAAGTGTGGTTTGGAAAAATACTGGCCCAAAAGTAACAAAGGCAATATCAACTACATTCAGATAGAAGGGACTGAAGAAAAGATGCCAGAACTGTTTGAGAAGTGAGCCCAATAATAAACTTCTTCGAAGGAGAATAAAGAAGTGAATGACAAAGAGCGAAGGCGGAGGCAGGAAAAAGTGTTAAGCATCCAGGTGAGTCTGAGGACAGGAGCCATTCTCACCAGTGGCCACAGAAGCCTGCGGTGCTTCAGGTCCCACGGGGCAGCCACCCGCCGTGCTCGCGGCTCCTCCGGGGCTGGCATGAACTGCACCCCCAGACCCTTTCTCTCGCCCTCCTCCCGCGCCGCGGAAAGGAACTCCATTTCCTGGGGAGGGGGCGGCGGTGGCCCGTCCTCGGGCACGGCCTCGGCCACCGGCCACCTGGCGCCAGGAAGCTTCCATCCCTGCAGAGGAAAAATAAAGGAGTGGAAAAAGCGTGAAAACGACGGGTCCCGCGGAGGAGGAAAGAGGCAGGGGGACACGTTATGCTAGCGGCTGCGTGTGGAGGGTCCCAGGGCAGGGTCCCAGGGCGGGGCCGCGGCTTGAGAAGGTCGCGGCCCTGTCTCTCTGGGAGGGCTAGTCCTCGCTAAGCCCGGGCTTGGGAGGTGGACCGAAGAGGGAGTGGACTAGGTGGAGAAAAGGACCGCGGGGCAAGGAGCGCCCAAAGCCGGATAGGAAAAGCCGAGGAGACAGAAAGCGCCTTCTCAGCCTCAGTAGAAGCACGATGAAAGAAGAGTGGCAGACTGACCCGGCGGCTTTCACCGAGAACCAACTACAAGAACGGACCCCACGGAAAGCTACGTCTCCTTACCGACGGCGCCCGCTCGCAACGACTACAATTCCCAGAAGCCCCCACCGGCCGGCCGCAGAACGCGTGGCAGCGCTGGCCGCTTTCTCGTCTGGAGTCCTGGGAGGGGCTCAGTGCGCGTGCGCTCACCTGACTACGCCGACCTTTTGGGAACTACAATTCCCGGCGTGCTCAGGAGCTCGGGAAGGGTAGCGGCCAGAAAGGACGCATGCTGGGGATGTGCTCTTGATTTATGGAAGTCGCTGCCCGGCCATCGCCCTGATTGCAGCTAGGGGTCAGGATTCTGTGCAAGTAGTCCCAGTTGGACTTCCGCTACATCCTTGTTTTGGGGGCTTGAGGGTGTCTTTTCACTGCCAAAAAAAAAAAAAGAAAACACTTCGGAGTGGCCGATTAGAGAGGGAAGGAAAGTTAAGGAGTGGGAACATTTCAGGAAAGTGGCTAGAGTTGAGAAAGTGCCCTTCTGAATTTCTAGAGCGCTCTCAAAATCTGACGCCTATTATTTTCCTAGTTCATTAGAGTTTGCAAGTTGCTTTTTCTGGAGCAATCTGACTTTTTACTTTCAAGACGGCTCCCTCAAGTAGGTTTTATTAAAGAAAATAGTTGAGGGCCAGGACCTAAATCTTGTTACTTTGCTGAGTTTTCTAACAAGATGTACTGAGATATGTAGATTTCAAAAATTAATTTTGAGGTCTGGGATTGAAAAATATATTGATTAATGTTTGGGATTATGCAATCCTTACGCAACACCTCAACATAATTAATTCTTCTACCTTAATCTCAAGTATCAAATATTTAGATAGCATTTATTTAATGGCAGGTACTGTTCAAAGTATTTTATAGATATATGTGTTAATTGATTTGGCACAGTAACCCTGATTATTACCTCTGTTTTACACTGAGGCAGAGAGGCTAAGTGACTTGCCCCTGTTCATACAGAAAGGAAAAAGGTGAAAGTAAGCTTCAAAAGCAAGTAGTATGATTTATTGGAAATCATGCTTTCAACCTCTTATACATAGGTATTATAGTATTGCCGGTACATTATCCAAATACAAACATGGTCCTAAGAGTATAGTTTCATTGGCTAGAAATTAACAGATATGAAGCAACAGCTCAACATTGTACTTGGATAAAGACTTTTAGTTTGAAGCTTTAAGAATGGTTACTAGGGGCTGGGATGTGGCTCAAGCGGTAGCGTGCTCGCCTGGCATGCGTGTGGCCCAGGTTCGATCCTCAGCACCACATACAGACAAAGATGTTGTGTCCGCCAAATACTAAAGGATAAATATTAAAAAATTCTCTCTCTCTCTGCCTCTATCTCTCACTCTCTCTTAAAAAATAAAAAAAAAGAATGGTTACTAATGAGGGAGACTCAGTTGAAAATAATTTTATATGCCAGAGATCTGAATGAGCATGTATTCAACAAATCTGTATGCTAAACGTCCCCCACCTTTTTTTTTTTTTTTTTAATACTGGGAATTGAACTCAGGTACACTCTACCGCTGAGCTGTGCTAAACCTTCTTGAGAACAAATTTCTTCCATTCCCCAAAATTAATAGCTAATGACAATATCCGTCAGGCATTAAGTGCTTTCTGTATGCCAGCATTTTTCTAAACCATTTTTTCTTTTACTTATCTAATCTTTTCAAAAATCCATAATTATTGTTACCAGAACCATTATTAAAATTAGGAAATAAAGGCATGTAAAAATTGTCTTATTCAGCATTCTAACAAAGCCAGGATTGCAATGGGACAGTGCAACTACTGGCCAGTACTCTTTCAACCACCATGATATGATGACTATATAAAGGAATTTAATGTCTACCTGGAAATTTCAATTACTTTAAAATACAGGCAAAAGATTCCTGTAATCCCATTTTTTCCCTGCCACGTTATGCAGAAAATAGTCACAATAATCACTTTGGAATCAGAATCTTGCAAACTCTCTGAATGAGCAGTCATTGAACATATTTTCAATATAAATTTTTGCAGTGGACAACTGAGTGTAATATGAAAGCACATGGAAGTAGAGAACACCTTTTCAAAAATATCCATTGCTGTTATTTTTCCTTTGAAATTTCAGATAATATTTGGAATAAACATGGTTTCACTATATTTATCAAAAGGGACATTGGGTTAAAGGTTGAGAAATATTGTACATTTATAATTAATATTAATTTGCTTAAATGTATCACAAGAATAGCCTTAAAAGAAGAACTGGGGATATAGCTCAATTGGTAGAGTGCTTGCTTTGCATGCAAAAGGCCCCAGGTTCAATCCCCAGCACCAAAAGACTGACTGAATACCAAACATTGACAAGCAATTGGAACCCTTGTACCTTCTAGTGGAAGTGGAAGTTGGTTCAAACACTTCCCCAAAAATTGTGGCAATATGTGCCAAAATTAAACAAACCTTGATACTGAAGTACCATGACTAAGAAATCCCATTTCTGGATATATAACCAGAACAAATGAATGCATACTTCCACAAAAACTCATGTTCATAGCAGTTGTATACAAAATAGCTGCAAATTAAAAATGACCAGTCTTAGTGTATATTTTGCTGCTATTAGCAGAATTATCTGAAACTATATTTGGATCTTTGGTATTCTGGGTAGTTATAAATGACTTAGTGATTTTTATAAAGAACATTCATTTTTACACTTCTGGAAGCTGTGATGTCCAATATCAAGGTACTAGCATCTGATGAGGGTTTTCTGACTGTGTCAAGGCATGTTTGAGGCATCACAGGTCAAGAGAGCAAGCAATAAAGCTCAGATCTCTCTTTCCCTCCTAAGTTCATCTAACTAAAATTACCAACCAAAGGGCCTGCCTCCAAATACTATCTGCATACTAGCTCTGGCTACAACAGACTAGCAAACTTTTCTACTATCCAGTGTGTTGACTGATCCCCTTTCCAATAAGATCTAAATTTCAGCCTTGGGGAGGGGGCAATTTGTCCTTCCTTATATACTTTCCTTCAGCTTTAAAATACCATATACAGTTTCCTTGTAATCATTCTTTTATCAAAGTTTAATAATTCTTTATATAAAACTTAACCAATGTAGTTTCTAGTTTTGTTTGGACCCAGACTGATACAGACACTGTATACATTTTATGTCAATTTTCCTTCAAATACTGACATGACCTAACCAAACTGCAGGAGGGAAAAATGTTAAGGAGAAAATAAAGAATAAAACATGCCATCAAACACTGACATTATGAGCCAATAAAATTTTAAAAGCTTTTCTTCTATAGATGGAGCAGAGGAGAATTAGGAACATTAATAGTCCAGTTGCTTTTTCTAACCAGGTTGAGATATTGTTAGACCAGGACTCAAGAAAAGACCACTGACTCCAATTAAAACTAAATTAAAGCAAGCTTATTATTTCGACCGGCCCGGGCTGCCTCTCCCACCCAAAACTGTGGGAACTAGATAGCAGCCGCAGCTTTCCTGCAGCCCAGCTTTATAGCTCATAAAGTTACACAAAGGGGGTTACAAATAACAAAACTCTGACGAGCATAACACTAATGGTAGTTTACATTTTTGCTGGCCCTGACATCAGAATTTATGAAGGTCATTAGAGCCTCAGAGAGGGTCGTTATCTGGCCAGGGAAGGCCAAGATTTGTGAGGCGTCACTAAAGTTTCAGAGAGGGCTGCTATCTGGCCAGAGAGCCAGGCATGGGTGAGTTCAAGGCACGGGCAGGCATTCCAAGCAGGTTCAGAATTTGCAGTAATTTATAGTAAAGCCAAAATTATCTTTTCATGGCTTTGTGGCAAGATGGCTCCCAATTTTAAGAAAAGATCAGGTTGGGTCTATCAATATAACTTTAAGAAATAGGTCCTATTTTTATGTACTTAGTAAAACTCAGAAATGAATGATTATGATTATCTACTAGGCTATCATTTTACTTTTTCTAGAAAAAACCTGAAAACAGAAGCTAAACCAAACATTCTTCATATTTAATGTAAAATTTTTCAGATTTCCAGCTAAATAGTCTATCAATCCATAAGTGAGGCTAGCAGTTAGTCAATACTGTCAACAGCAGACCCACCTTATACTCAGAGATGAGAAGGATTTGCTGTTTTACCAGGGTAAGAATGAAGAGGTCATGGATGCTGAGAACTGAGAAAGGTAAGATTTGAATGCGATAGAAGAAGGCATGCTGAGAGGTAGGGACAGCATGAACCAAGTGTTAGAAGTGAGAATAAGCATGGCATATACTTGGATCAGAAAGGAAAAAATAATAATAATAAAATCTGTTGCATCCTAAGGCAAAGATGATAAAGCTGAAAAGTTTGGTTTCAACATTGACAGTAAGCGGTCACCATGAGGTTCAAGAGAACGGAGATGGCATCCTAAGCAAGATTTTTCAGAAAAACTAATTTAGAAATAATAGGATGATTTAAGATTGGAAATGGCTTGGATACAATGGCCACCTAGTATTAAAATTGCTGTACATGTGACTCCTAGTTTAGAAACTTGGATATGCAAATGATCACATTTTTGTAGTCATAGTCATTCAACTTAATTGAACTCTGAGTTTTATCTTCCCAGAATTGGTTGGGAAATTCACCTGTCTATTAATTTAGTCAAGAAAAATTGAGACCCTATTATGTCCCAGGTACTTTGTAGGCAATAGAAATGGAGTAATAATAATATGGCCGGTTATCGGTGATGAGTTCAGCTCCCTTAGTGGTTGAAGTATAATATTAGAGAAGCAGGCCGAGGCAAGCATAAAAAGCGGGGTTTATCTAAAAAGGGATAACATAGGCTTTCCCCAGGAGGGAGAAGGAGGCCATAGCTGGTATCCTGGTATCCCAGGAAGTGAAGGTGTTCTGCCTTTTTATATGACCTAGGCTTCCTTTGTTCTCCTGCACTCTTGCCCCTTATCTCTCTCCTTCCTACTTTTGTGACTAGGCCCAGGAAATGCTTGGTGGGATGGCCAAAAGGTGGGAAACAGATGGGCTGGAGGGGCCATGGAGGAGTGATCCAGCCAGGAAGGGGGCCCAGAGCGAATTAATCAGCAGCTCAGAGTTGCTTCATTAACAATTCTTTAGGATGGGCAGTATAGGCCAGGCTTTGGGGACTTTAACATTTC